GAGGCCGCCCCCTTCCCCAATGGCACACTTGGCAATGCTCGTAGCAAGGCCGACTACGATGCATGGAGCCAGGACCGTGCCATCATTGATGAGCTAATTGCTCTCGACGTCCAGTCTCTCCAAGGAGCTATTCAAACTGTAACGGCCACACTTTCATCAGACTGGAAGATGGAATTAAGTACTAACTTCACATTGCAGAATGGCGGCCTCAACAGTTGGCAAGACTACGAAAAAGTCCTCTACGATGGCCAGCTCAATAATACAAACCCTCGAGGTACCGCTCCCGGTATCATTTCCAATGCGACCCAAGATCTCCTTTTCTCCATGGAACGCCTGAGCGAGCATCCCCATGCCGTGCGTCGGGTTATGGCCCACGAGCCTCTTCCTTTTCCACTAGACGATGTCATAACGAGTAAGATTGTCGGTTCTGGAAATACGCTTGAGTCCCTTCAGGCTAGCAACCGCCTTTTCATTGTCGACCACTCCTATCAGGCCAAGTACGACGTTGCTACTGTCGTCGAGCGTTTCCCCGTCGCTTGCAGCGCCTACTTCTACATCGACCCAGAGTCTGGCAACTTTTTGCCTTTGGCCATTCGCACTAATGTTGACGCCGATCTGATTTACACTCCTCTCGACTCCGAGAATGACTGGTTACTGGCAAAGATGATGTTTAACGCCAATGACATGTTCCACGCGCAAATGCTGCACCTCGTTGTGTCGCACGACGTCACCGAATCAGTTCACCAAGCTGCTCTTCACACTCTCAGCGAGAAGCACCCCATAATGATTCTTCTCGAGCGCCTCATGGTGCAAGCCTATTCTTCTCGTATCGTTGGGGAAGAGCTTTGCTTCAACCCTGGCGGCCACTGGGATCAGCTCATGGTTTTTAATCAGTTTGGCTGCCGTCAATTCGTTACTGACAGCTGGCCCGTTGACGGTCGGTACCAGAGCGGATATCTGGAAAACAACTTGAGAGCCCGTGGTCTGATTGATGCTAATGGAAAGTCCGTCTTTAACTCTTTCCCCTTCTACGACGACGCCAAGCGCATCCGTGACAACTACCACATCTTCTTCACATCTTTTGTCAACTCGTACTATAAAAGCGAGAATGACCTCTCTGGCGACTTTGAAGTTCACAATTGGTTTAACGAGGCCAGCACAATGGCCAAGGCTCAGGACTTTCCTCAGGAGAAGAACCTAAGCAAGAAAATTCTCATCGATGTCCTCACCCACTTCGCCTATGCTACCTCAGTCTCGCATCACAGCGTCAACGGGGGCGCTCCAATCGCCTCCGGTACCCTGCCATTCCACATTCCCGCCATTTACACTGCTATCCCGAAGGAGAAGGGCGTCCAAGACCTCATGCCGTATCTGCCAGACCCTGCCACCGCTGTTCATTACCTAGGATTTATGGCTTCATTTAATCGCCCATTCTATGGCAGCGACGGACGGACACTTAAGGATGCTTTTGATGCCACTACTATGCAGCGTTTAAACCAGGACACAAAAAGTGCTTCTAAGGCGTTGCTGGGCAATATGCAAAAGCTCAGCCAGCAGATCCGCAGCCGTGCGTTCGACAGCCAGGGTTTGAGTCAGAACATGCCTTTCATTTACAGGACTCTGGATCCTGCTTACATTCCCTTCTTTTGTGCCGTTTAGAGCAAAGGTAAATATTTTCCTTGGGTTTATGCCAAGATTTTTCTGACTTTATGGAAACGTAAATGAAAACCTCCGAAAACAGAAAACCTACTGTGATCTAATGCGCACCCTTACTTGGTTGTGTAGGAAGAGATGTAAGTTAAAAAGGCAGTTACTTTGGAACGGGTTTCTCGAATACTTCCGCTCTGTACAGGGGACACAGGTCTTTTTAGATAAGAGCTTTTGCGCACATGTCATGCGTTATATCTGCCCTACGCCTGGCCCCATCTTCAATGTTAATATTAGTAAAGATACAAGTATAAAAATGAATATCTAAATAATCTACATATAATGCCAGTTTTAATCTTATGATGATAGAGGCTTTGCCCAGCACATTGGGACTCAGTAGAGTACGCCTATTTTTATATTTATAAGGTTATATTATAGGCTTACTCAACACTCTGTGCTCCTCCTAGCAGCTAATCATTATACTGTTAGCTTGCCATGCCCGTAAATGTCAGCAGGCACGAATACCACCGATGTCGCCGCCGTGTGTAAAACGGTCGGTGTAATCACCTTTAAGTTCAATGTTGCGTTAGGTGACTTAATAGTGATAAATCCCTTAGTGCGGGGTTCATTGTCCTCCAAAAAACGGAACCATTTGATCCTGATCTAGAGTCTCAGGAGGCAAAAAATGGAAGACATCACACCCTATATTATAGCCCTATATCCCTTCCATCCACATTACCTATATTATAGCGCTATGTCCTTACTAGACACGTCTGACAGAGAGCTTTTTCTCATAATATCACATAATGTTCCCCTATATTATACTGCTACTGGTACTTTATAGTTTCTGCCCCTTCTTAATCGCATCATCTTCAGGATACACGTATTCATAGTTACCTGTATCCAACGCCCGGCACCCGCAACCGTTGTCTTCACACGAGAAGCCATGAGGATGGCTGGCGGCCATCAATGAGTCCCCTATATCTAAATGGGACTCCCTAGGCGAAAGTTCCCCGCACCCTTAACTCACGGTGGTAAGCCAATTTCACCATCGGCACTCTCAATTACACAATCATGCATACAGGCACTTATTTAGTTATATCATGACTTAGTAGGTTCTCAGGTTGAGAGAAATTTGAGGAATGAATAGCTCGTTTTTCACAAACGCGCTCAGACGATTGCGGTCGCCACACGATTATTGCCCAGTTTCCCGCCTCAACTATTGTGTCTTGCCCTGTTCTAAATAATCCCAATGAACTTCTGGGAGGAAGAGGTGACCCAGGTACGTCGCCCTAAGCGTTTCAAGCGAGGCCATACGGCTTGTCATCGGTGTCGCTCGAAGAAAACAAAATGCGACAACCGCCGGCCTTCATGTGGTGTTTGCGTGGAGAACCACGTTCAATGTGTATATGGGGAGCTGGATGGTCAGCAGATTCCACAGTAAGTGATTGACTAAGGTACCTGTACCTTGCCTATAAGTCACTGGACTCTGGTGTAACCTAACTTGTGAGCAGGGAGCCAACGTTGACAGATGTCATGAATCGCATCGACCATGTTGCTCAACTTTTGGAGCTTTCCCAACGACCAGCCTATGCAGATTCGACTGATTCTAACTGTAAATCGCTTCATTCATCTTCGCCTTCTTTAGACACAGCGCAAAAGACCACTTTCCCAGGAGCGTCTAATCTAGGACGGCCCGCACATGCTGTCAAAGCCACCGGGATCTCATTTGAAGCTACAACCAAGTGGCCAATGATTCACAACATAATTTCTCAAGGCATCATCTCACCTAGACTGCCATCCAGTCCATCGATGACAAACAATAGCCCGCATAGTCAGAGGGATGAACCTCCGGCTGGGTTTAGAATGGGGAATACTGAATGTCTGGCGGAGGAAATAACAACACCATTATCACCAACAGACAAGGCTCATATTCAAAACCTCTGTCAGAGGTATCTAACCGTGGCGCACGTGAAGAATCCGATATTCGACGTGTCAAGATTCAACTTACAGGTCAAGGCGATAATAGACGGTGGGTTTGATTGGGGTGAAGACTCCTGCGTTGTAGTGAGATGAACCTGACTTCTCGTTGGAAACCAACTTGGACTGTATTCCAATTGCTAAATCCCAATAGATGCTGGCATGTGCCCTTGCCAATACCGTGAAGCAGGTCGGGGAGTCGTTTGAATACTCAAACCCTTCCCCAGGTTCCTACAATCAGATATTCTACGACGCCTCGGGAATCAACTGCATACCTGGCGATGCGTTCTACCTTGCGGCCAAGAAGCGCCTTGGTCTCTTAGACGTCACGCTCACATCAGTTCAGTGCTTCTTTCTAGCTGGGCTATATGAGGTGTGTCGGTTGAGACCTACCAATGCCTGGGTTCATTATAGTCAGGCTTGCAGTCGTTTGCAGTTTATACTATCCCATAGGAACGTGAGAGATGACAGTCTCGACACAGAGTTCCATGTTTTAGAGCGACTGTACTTTTCCTGTTGTAGAACTGAGCGGTACGTCTGCCTTGTCCAAGACATAGGTCATGTCATATGCTAAAAGTATCTCAGAGACCTTCGAGAAGAGCTCGACCTTCCACCAGCGGGTATTACCAGCTTACACTTTCCTCGAGAGTTTCCAAGTCTCCCTTCCTGGACCTCATTCCACGGCAGTGTGAATGAGAATTCATCCAACACAAACTCAAATTGGCAGATACTGCCATCAAGCGTCATACAACAACAAGAAGAACATAGCTGGTACTATTATTTAGCGTGTATAGCGCTGAGGAAAAAGGCTGATTCTATTAATGATCTACTTTACGAGCCGGGAGAACATGTTTGGCTGGCGAATAGAGATCATGTGATGGCCCAGGCCATTCTGCAGGAAAACGAGCTTGACCAATGGCGAACAATATTGCCAAAAACATTGGAATTTGATGCTGACGATGGTGCTCCCGAAGACCTAGCATTCATCTTGGAATGCAGACAACTCCAATGGCGCCAGATTTCTTACAGACCTTTACTTTATTACGCTCTTCACAAGCCCGACACGGATCCATACTTTGATCGTGTGTTGCCCTTAGCACAGAAATGCCTCCAGTACTGTGCTCTCACGATCAAGCGACTTACAAGACCACATTATTACGAGGCGACCTGGTTCAGCTATCGTGCCATCTCCACGGCAACGCTATTGATTCTGGCTGCGCAACTACGTGGACCTCCTTTATATGTACACAACTGGCAAGCCTTGGTTTCGTTGTCGCTCCGGGTGCTTGCTGCTCGCACAGCGCGCGCAGCATACATTGATCAGGCACGGCCAGTGCTAGAAACACTCCTGAAACACGTCACGAAAGACAATCAGTAGACTTATCTGGAGAGGCTAGTCTATGACGGCTCATGGATTGTAGATGTTATTCGTGCGCATAATCGATCCACCTCTAACTTCTACCCTTGCTTTGCGACAGACTTCAGCATAGAGGCACCACGTCCAGTGATTCCAACATCTAGCAGCTACTCTAAAAGTAGTCTATAGGTAGCCAGTTCGAATCTTTGCAGCTCTATCTCTACACCACCATTCACAATGGGCAGCTCCTCTAGGTCGTCTTCCAAGAGATTGCATTTCCACGCCTTCTGAATCTTAGCGTGCCCGGTCTCTAAGAAAGCCCTGTTCTTCCCACCAATGGCATCATATACTCGGCATACGATGCTTTTGCCATCCCTTGTAGGCAAATTGCCGCAACTTACATCCGTATCATCTTCTGCTCTCTTGATGGTGTCCAGCACTAGTCCTAGACCGTCTCTCAATTTGACGGGGCTCACTGGCAACTCCGGCGAGCGGATCCCATTAGGGCACGAGGCAATACGGACTGGAATGTTGAACTCAAAGCCCTTCTTCACTGTTTGCCAACCTGCAGGTCCTTCGTGAGGGAAAATGCCCCATTTAATATGATGACGACCCATATCAGCGTTGGCATCGGGAGCCTTTGGTGAACGGAGCAGGCTCAATCGCATCATGTTTCCGCTCGTAGCGAAGCCATATTTGGAGTCGTTAAGAATGCTCACACCGTATCCTGCTTCCGATAAGTCGGCCCATTTGTGGCAGCACACCTCGAACTTGGCCATATCCCAGGAGGTGTTGTAATGTGTTGGTCGTTCCACAATGCCGAATTGAGTCTCATATGATGCCTTTGTGTTGTAAATATCCACTGGGAACTGGACCTTGAGGAACTTAATGTTCTCGTGCCAGTCAACGTCTGCAGAGCATTCAATATGACTTTCCTCTTGGTGATCAATGACAGCATTAAGGGATATTGTAGTCTTGATCGAGCTGCTCTCAGATATCTTTGTGATTGTTGTCACTGAAACTCTCTCAGGACCACTTTCACCCAGATACGAAACCCCTCCTTCCAGTTCGCGACCTTGAGAGAGATGATATGTTTCCACGTCCCAGGCCTGATGATAAAGAGGCATATCACCAAACACAACGAGCTGATTGGCTCTTGCACCATCAGGAATTATTTCGCGGTCTCTGCGGAGGTCATAGAGCGAGATGATGGTGCCTTGAGTCACCGTGACACGGTACTGGCTGTTTGACAAGATCCAAATACCCTTGCTAGATTCGGATATGGTCGCTGCCTCGAAAGAAACGCCTGACAGGGGCTGAAGTGGTGATATACCTGGTCCACATCGGTAGAAACCATACTTCTGGTTACCCTCGGAATGAGCTGCGGCCGGCAATGGTGCTAGACCAACCCTGTCCCAATCGAGCGTGTTTACTCCCACAAGATTGGCAGAATCTGTTGGCTGCAAGTTTAGCTGCAGCGCGGCCGCAACCTTCGTAAGTGCTGTATTTCCCACGGAGATTACCTCATCGTAGAGCTAGTATCGTTAGTCTTCAGTTCAGCTAGCAATATGAAACAGTGGGAGTGCAATAACTCACTTTATCCGTATCATCGTAGCACATCTCAATCGAGCTCCCTGGAAGGCAGTCATGGAATTGACAAAGCAGAACCTTCTCCCACATCTCGTCAATCTCCTTCTTTGGGTACCTGTAAGTTGAATCCTTTTGTATACTGGCAAGTGTGGCCAAATATTCCAGATCATGTAGGAAGGTTTCAGCCCGCCGGTTGCTCAACTTGGTCTTAGCCTGGGTAGTATAGGTGCCTCGATGATATTCGAAGTACAGTTCACCGAACCAAGTAACAAATGGATTATTGGTATCCTTTTCTCTGTGCTCCAACTGAGAGAAGAAGTCGTCCACAGAGTTACCCTGTTGAACGCGAGGCAGGCGATCTACTTGATCGCTCATGCCACGGCATCGTCTCAAGCTTTCCAAATGCGCGATTGTTGGGCCGCCTCCTCCGTCGCCCTTTCCATTAACTAATAGCGAGGTGTTATCCTGATCCAGTGATTTGTGTCTCGTTTCGCAGCGTACGAGGTCTTGCAATGTCGCGTCCGCGTTATATTTCTCTGCAGGTGTCATATGACAGAGCACCTTGCTCCGACCATCCAATGCCACCCAGTTGAAGGTGGTATGTGGAAAGTTGTTGATGTTGTCCAACTAAGCTTCTGCGTGAAGAACCTCGTCATTCCCGCTAAGCGACAAATCTGGGGAAGCTGACCCGAATAACCAAAAGTGTCAGGTAGCCAGAATGTAGTATGCCTGCGACCAAATCGACTCTGAAAATATCGCTGTCCGTATAGAAATTGACGGACCAGAGATTCACCACTGGGGAGGTTTGTATCATGCTCAACCCAACTTCCACCAATGGGCTGGAACGTTCCCTTGGCGATCTTTTCTTTGACTCGCTCGTATATTGTTGGATACAAAGTCTCCAGCCACTTATACTGCTGTGCTTGGGAGCAGCAGAACCGGTACTCAGGATATAGGTCCATAAGATTGCATTGACTAATCCACGAACGAGCGACTTTCCTCTTTGTTTCATCCCAAGGCCAAAGCCAACATGTGTCAATGTGGCAGTGGCCAATAGCCGAGACTATTGCCGTCTGATCTGTCTTGAAAACCTCTTCTGTGTCAATTCTGTCACCAAGATAGCTTCGAGCAATTTCTCTGCACTTTGAAATAGCACCCGAGCTGCCGTCGCCAGCAGAGAAAGTATCTAGGATTTCATTGCATGCCTGCTGAGCGCGATGCGATTGCCACGAGTCTTGAGGTAGATATAGTGCCGCATCTGTTATCATCAAATGTGAGTAGCTCACCGTGGTACGAGTTTTCATATAAAGGGGACTGCATACCCCTTATGACGTAAAAGTCAAATAGCAGCTGCCTTGCATCGACATTGACGGCTACAATGTCTGCCTTTTCAAGTTTGAAGTACTTGTCCATGGGAGGAGGCTGGATAATGTCGTGCATTTCAGCGTTTCCAAACATGGTGTTGCATGCCATCTCAATGAAAAAGGTATGTCTTTTCCCATCCTTCCACTGTTGAGGGAAGATCCATTCCTGTCTCTCACCTCCGCGTTCACTGCCCCCTGTTAAGCCTTGCACAGGCTCGCCATCTTCCGTCCAAACCATAGCCTCGCTATTAGAGTTCCAATGGAACTCGAGATGAGAATAGTTCGTCATACATTCTGGTACAATGATTTCCACCCGAAACCAATGTGTAGACCAACTGGGTCCGAAAGAAGCGCCTACTTCCGTGGGTTTGAACTCTTGAGATTTGACTTCCGCGAACGTAGGGCGCGACGGTGCGGTTGGAGAGTACACCTGAAAAAGTCAACAAAATGCCTCGAGAGTAAGCTTCAGGGTAACCTACCAAGAGTCGAACGTTGTCACCTCCAGAGGCTGTTGCATGAGCAAGTTTTCTGTGAGTATTATCAGCGTTTGCTAAGCCCCAGAGACGCAAATCGATATGAGGATTACGGAAATATGCTCTGTTCCTTGTACTGTGTCGTATCCGTGAAGTGTGTAAGTCGCTTTTGATGGATTGATCGAATCTATTACTACAATGAGGTTACGAGCCTACGATAGTGAGATGCGATTCGCGAAAACTATAAGTGACCGACTTTCTTGCCAATAGGTTTCACAGCAGGCTGCGAACAGCACCCTTGGCGACTGTGCATTCGAGAATCCATGGCGTTTTCGATCCAAACTTGGCAAGTTGAGCTTGCGGGTTAATGAGTGTATCGTTTGTGGAACCCAGGTGCCTTGTTTATAATCACATAATCATCTCATATCAGTTCTCTCTCACGTTTCAGCAATCTTGCAATCTAACCATCCTATTAAACGGGCCTTCTTCCCGAATGCTGGTGTGAAAGCTAAGAATGTGGAAACGCTAGAGTGGTCGGGGAGTCCGGGGAGACATTCCAGGAACAGAGCGAGACCCGAGTCCTCCACCAGAATCCACATTGACCTCTAATGACCAATTTGCAGGGTCGAGTTCAGTTAGAGGGGTTTATCTCTGTTCAACAAATACGCGCACTGCTTGTGAAGTTTTCATTGGGCCTTGTAGTAAAGAAATCCTTTGGCAAATTCGTCCGACTTGTCGTTAACTCTCTATCTTCCCCTCTTGGGGCTTCGGTGCTGACTTCTTTGCGCTGGTGCATCTCCTGAGGGGTTGGAAAATCGTCAGTGACTTTAATAGTGGCTTCGCGATGGATCAGCGTTGGTGAACGTTGTAGCTTATTGCTTATGCCGCCTCTTCCCCGCCGCGGGGCATGACACCTTAACCAAACTGTAGCAGTCGACGCAAGGAATTACATATTTGATTACCACAGTATTGATAGACATATTGCATTGCTCTTTAAAATTAATGTCTTGTTGTCCTTATGGGTGATGAGTTGGGTTCTTATCATGGGAAGCATAACTATCAATCTTGTCCGCTTGCAGAGATTTAGTGATCCCACACATCACCAATCTCCCCCATCTTTTCTTCCAGTAGCCTAGTCATCTCTTTCACAACGACTGCAAATTCAGGATTGTGATACTGGTTGAGAAGCTCTAGTGGATCTTTCTCACAGTCAAACAGCTCCCACTCGGGGGGCTCTCCACCAGGCCTTGTGCCTGCCAACTTGAAGTCCTTGTTATACCTGTGATCAATGAGTCAGATAGGAAATTACGGCCGATATTTCTAAATGTCCTTACCAGTATATAATTTTATAGCGCTGATTTCGGACACCATAATGAGCCCGGCATTCATGTGGCGAGTCGTTGTGCATCCAATACCGATGATATGCTACCTTTTGCCAGTTCTCTGGTGTTTCTCCCCGGAGGAGCTTCCTAAACGAGAAGCCTTGCATATATGAAGGTATCGGATAATTTGCCAAGTCCAACCAAAGAGGCGCGAAATCGACATTTGATACGATGTCATTGCAAATAGATCCAGGCTTGATTTCCTTGGGATATTTGACCAGCAGTGGCATCTGGAACGACTCTTCGTAGATAAAGCGCTTATCAAACCATCCGTGATCTCCGAGAAAGAAACCCTGATCGGATGTATAGATAATCATCGTATTATCTGCCACTTCTTTACCAAGACTGTCAACGTAATCTAAGATTCGACCGACATTCTCGTCAACAGAGTGAACGGTGCGACAGTATCGCTTCATATATCGCTGATACTTGAAGTGGCGCAATTCATCCTGATTTTTGAATCGAAAATTCTCGCCCGTCAGTTTGTCAATCAAGACCATTGAAGACACATCTTGGGGGAATGGAATCTTGCGATCCGGTCTTTGCGGAAAGTTTGGCTCATCCAACTCGCCAACTTCTGATCCGCCTTCGGGTTGACAAAGTCCAAGGTCATTGTATCTTAAATCTTCGGTGACCCGCATCTTTGCCGCAGCTGCCGCTTTTGCTCGATTCTTATACTCGTCGTTGAAACTCTCTGGAACCTTAATGTCCTCCTGGTAGAGCTAGTTGTGCTTAGGATGATTCTCCCAAGATCGACGAGGGGCTTTGTGGTGGCACATGACAAAGAATGGCTTTGTTGTATCTCGGTTACGAATGAAATCGAGTGTCTTATCCGTGATGATATCGGTGACATATCCTCTCTCCATGTGTCGGCCATTAGGTCCTATGAAGATCGGGTCGAAGTAGAGGCCCTTGGCCAGGGAGGACATCCCAGAAGTCAAATCCGCGAGGCTCATGTGCGGGTCCTTCACCCAGATGCCATTTGCCAATCATTGCGGTTTGATAGCCAGCGTGCTTCAGATGTTTTTGCACCATTGGAAGAACATTGTTAATCTTGTAGTTAAGGGTTAACACCCCATTGACATGATTGTGAGTTCCGGTGATGATGGCCGCCCGACTTGGTGTACAGATGGAATTCGTAACGTAACAATGGTTGAACCTCATGCCTTCATTGGCGATTCGATCAAGATTTGGGGTTTCGTTTATTCCGGCGCCGTAACAGCTGATAGCCTTTGCTGCATGATCATCCGCCATAATAAAGATAATGTTTGGTTGTGTTGCTGCCATCTTGCTGGTCGGCTGTGTTGCCAGCTGAGATGATTGGGAAGATTAAGCCTAAACAAACTAGGTGTCTTAAAGATTGTAACCTGAAGTGTATTCAACATTCATTCTAAATATCAACATTTGCCTCTGGAGCAAACTACACGACCCTTGAGGCGGCAGCATTTGCTGATTCAACAGGGCCTACCACTACCTCTTGCTCTGGGAAAATATAGATATACAATAGCGCAATCGCATATTAGAGGGGCAAATTTCAATGCCTCCCGCGAAGATAAGCTATTTCCCCGCATACATGTAGTCATAGAAAGGGGGAGCGAGATGAGAAAAATACGCATGTATCTCTGCTTTCGGTGCATTTATTGCCCGGTAAAAGTGTTGTGATCGATATGAAGCTAAGCATCATTGAGATCACTACGTGGTAAAGTCTCGCACGAAGGATGGCGGGTCCTCGGGGAGACCGGGGAATTCAGCTAGGCACGACAACCCCTGCATCAGATTATCGTCTACACCATGTTGCTGCTACGTGGGGTAATTGAAAGAGAAAATGCATGAGGAGAGAACTGTAAAATTGGCGGCGAGCGTTCGAATTAACATATAATTAGAAAGACCCGCCACGATCTTGTGGGGGCTTGACATGACAAGTATCTTGAAGGTGCCATATAGAAGTTTCCTCTAAGTTCAAAATGCCAATCGCAAATAAGAAAGACAGTCGGCCGAATTTCCTGGTCATCTTGGCCGATGGTATGTGGCGAGAATCTCCCTTCCCAAGGCCCTCAACTGCCGCCTACCTTCGACAACAAAATCTCCTTCCACGAATTCAGAATTCGGCTGACCCATATAAAGACCTGGGATATAGCGATATAGGATGTTTTGGGAGCGAGATTCACACCCCTAATTTAGACACACTCGCGCGTGATGGAGCCCGGTTTACAGATTGTAAGTTCAGTTCTAGCTAGGGGTAAGGTGAAGTTCTAACTAACACTTCCAAAGACTACGCCGCGGCGGCCTGCAGCCCTACGCGATCGATGCGTCTGAGCGGAACGGATAATCACATCGCTGGCGTGGGAATGATGAGCGAGAATAAGGGCAAAGTCTCGTCAAAATTTAACGTCAAAGGGTATGAAGGGTTTCTCAACCATGACGTGGCTGCGCTGTCTGAGATCCTCCAAGACAACGGCTACCATACGCTTATTTCTGGCAAGTGGCATCTTGGATATACTCCCGAGAGTAACGCTGCAGCACGAGGTTTTGACAGAGCATTCACCCTGCTTGGAGGGCAGAGCAATCACTATGGTTGGGAGCCGCTATTAGAGGAGAAACACCAGACACCATTCTTCACTCGCGTTAGCCCGCAATTATATACGATGGATGGCAGGAAATACAACGTGGAGCCGAACCTCACTAATGACCCCAGAGGGTTTTACTCTTCTGACTCCTACACTGATAACCTCATTGATTGGCTAAAGGACCGGTCCGCCGATAATAGCGAGAAGCCATTCTTTGCATACCTTCCATTCCTCGCACCGCACTGGCCGCTGCAATGTAGCGATGCTGATCGCGACAAATACGAGGGCGTATACGATGACGGCCCCGAAGCCCTCCGCGAAAAGAGGCTGAAAAAAATGAAAACACTTGGCATTATCAGTGAAAATATCACACCACATGATGTCGTTGCAGGACCCACCAACCGCGAATGGGATGAGATGACTCCGATGGAACGCAAGCTCAGTGCTCGAGCGATGCAGTGCTTTGCCGGCATGGTGGATAACATTGATCAAAATGTCGGAAGAATGATTCAGTATCTGAAGCAGAGCGGCGAGTTTGATAATACAGTCATTATCTTTCAGAGTGACAATGGGGCAGAAGGTGCCGGTATCGAGGCTCAGCCAACAATGGGGCCAGATGTCGTTGCAACGATTCGCAAATACTATGATAACTCCTTCGAGAACGTCGGAAATGCCAACAGTTACGTATGGTATGGTTCGAGATGGGCTCAAGCAAGTACAGCACCCAGCCGCCTGTACAAAGCCTTCTCTACTGAGGGAGGTATTCGTGTTCCTTTCGGTAAGCAACCGCCCTTCCACCATTTGCAACTTTCAGGCATTCCCTCTGACCACAATTCAGTGATACACTACCCAAAGTTTGCAAAACACCTTCAAAATGGTGCCATCATCAGGTCCTTCTCGACTGTAATGGATCTTTGTCCGACTTTCTTGCAAATGGCAGGCATAGAACATCCTGCTGAGAAAGATGGAATGTTTAGGGGCAGGAAGGTGGCCGCTATGCGAGGCAAGTCCTGGTTGGAATTTATGACTTCCAGCAATTCCACGTCAGAGTCTACCGACGGCATTCATTCAGGAACTGACACATACATGGGCTGGGAACTTTTCGGTCGTGGCGCGATCCGAAAGGGAGAGTGGAAAATGGTCAACATTGAGTCAGCCAAAGGCGGCAACAGCTGGCAGCTGTACAACATTTACCGTGATCCTGGTGAGATGGAAGATCTTTCAGAAAAGGAGCCAGAAAAGAAAGAAGAAATGCTACGTCTCTGGGATGATTACGTGCAGAAGACCGGTGTCGTATGGATCCCGCATGAAGAGATTCTGAAGATTGGCCAAGACTATGGCTTTGATCGGAACGATCTCATTGGGGGTAATCATTTGGAACAAATGAAGGGTTGGATGCACATTAAAGCTGGCGAAGAGACGAGGAGGGGTCAGGTTACTAGGGGTGGTTGATGTAAATAGATACCCTAGTTATTTCGATATTGAGATAGTTTGACAGGATATTAAACTTTGCCATTGCTGTCAGAGACATACTGAGAGACAGAGGAAGGTGAAGAAGTCCATAATACGTGTAGACAGTAAACGTGCACAAGAGTAAAGTATTCCGAGTTTATGAGGCCACCCCGAGCGACCTTCTGCCCTTGGCAATTACCCACAAAATGGAGGGAAAATATTATCTCAAGTAACATGCTACTAGCAAAAGCCAAAGGTGAAGCGAAATGCAGTGTAATTACCAATTAAAATGAAACCATGAATATCCCATTCAAACGTTGCCTAGGAAGTCAAGTTCAATTTCCAAATATTGTCCATCGTAGCGAGGGTTAAGTCTGTTTGGCTGGCACCTCTTAAATAGCTGGAGCATTGCTGGACTCCTCGCCATAAGCATCGACACTTGTACTCTTAAACTTTCTAGCCGGCACTTCCTTCCAGAAGAGAATGTTAAGCTCCTCATATGTTCTGCCTTTGAACTCTGGGAGACGGAAGAAAGTCCAAACAAGAGAAAGAGCGCATGTCCCGCCGAAGAAGAAGCCTGTCTTACCCTTCCAATTAGCTGCCGTGGGATTCAGCATGTAGGGTTAGCAACGTTGAAGATAATGTTGATGATATAAGAGCCCGTACGGCCAACTGCAATTGTCTTTGCACGTGTTTGTGTTGCTGAGACCTCACTGGCAACACACCAAGCAACCGGGCCGACAGATAAGTCGTAGGTGAAGACCCAAATCAGCAGCATCACAGCTTGCGCCCAGGACGCACTATCGTTGGACGGGGCGCCAGTGACACAAAGCCGATAATGAAAAGGATGAAACACATGGTTACGAGACCACCAATAAAGATGGTACGGCGACCGAACCAAGTCAGGAGGAACCAGGACAATATTGTTCCAGCTATTCCCATGCAGGAGTTGCCAATACTCATACTGAAGGCACTGGAATCCGGCAGACCTGCTTGTTCGAAGAAGTAGGTATTGTAAGCTGACATAGGCAAGCCCGAAAATGCTTGAATGCTCCAGACAGCGAATGCAATTTCGGTACGTCGAAGATTTGACCCTTTGAAACAGTCCCAGTAAGAGGAACCACCAAGTGCCTTTTCCTCTTCGGTCGTCCGAACCATCAGAGCGACGGCCTCATGAGTTCCCTCCCCGCTTGTAAGACGTTTCAGGGCTTTCTCTGCTTCTTCGAGACGACCTGTCCTAACCAGCCACCATGGTGACTCGGGACAAAATATGAGGCCGACAACAAGTATGACAGGCCAAATCCACTGCAAAGAGAATGGTAGATTATACGCCCATCTGCCTGTCATTGACTGCGTCGCGTTCAATACGATAGCTGCGATAAGGTGGCCAAATCTAAACACATATCTCATTAGTGAGTGAGCTCTCTTGACTGCATCGGAAGGCTTAGGGGATGTTACACAGCGCCAAAGTTGATAAAGGTTGTGAGATATCCTCGCAGCACGGTTGGACAAACTTCAGAGGCATAAATCGGGGCCGTTGCATGGAAAATCCCCCAGCAGATGCCGCACAGCAGTTCACCGACAAGAAGCATTGCCACCGACTGCGCGAATGCCAATATGAATATGAGACCAGTGAGAACAAAGCAAGCAGCCAACAGGGTCTTTCTCATTCCAAATCTTTCCCGAACGTAGCCATTGAAACACATGCCAATCATGATACCAATGACACTTGCATTGGCCGTGCCAGCTTGCCATGCAGCGGTCAATTGGTAGCTACCAGCGGGTGTCGGCTCGCCAAATCGCTTTCGGAAGGCTTTTTGGGCGAAAAGACTCTTGATCAACGATTCATCGTAGCCATCCATGACAACGGCCATTGTGACCAAGATGGACCAAGCAACAGCCTTGGGATATTTCTTGAAGCCTTGGAGCGGAGTTGTCATATGCTCCGCCTCAGTTGCTGCTTTGGCATCATGAAAGACGTATTTGGCAAAAGATCCATATCCATCATTGTCGATTTGAGACACATCTGATTTACCGGGCTCTTTGCTGTTTGCAGGATGAATTGACTGCTCAACCTGGTGCGGTAGGTCCGCAGATGAAGGGGCCATAGTCTGCCAGCGTTACTGGGTTAAGGAAGCTGACTGGGGCAGTCGACAAACATGTCAATTAATGGCATTCGAAAATCTTCGCCGTGGAAGCTCACGAAGCCCTTATATCCAGGATACTCGAACAGTCATTAACAATAGCACAAATGGCAACATATTCATGTTCAATTCCGTTGACATAAGTCGTCTATCTTATTAGTTGAAGCAATTATCCTCGATGGCCCTGTGGCTGAAAAATTCAGGTCGATGCCGGGGAGCTCGGGGAGCTGGTGAGGGCCCCTGCCTAGCCCTCTTAGTGTATGATTCTTCCAAAGTTCGCCGCCAGACAGTCATCGGCACAATGTTGCCGACCCTTGTGTCTAACAAACAGGGGAAACCGCTGTAAGGATGGCGCTATAGTCTTGATTTATGGTTATTGCCATTTAGGCCAAAGCTCCGATCGCCGATGCACGTGAGTTCAGGATGGTGATGGTCTTGGTTGTGTACCTGTATCTTGACACAACTTCAGCTCTCTCTTCCCCAATACCCTACCCAGGGTCTCAAGTAGGTGCCCTAGACGCACCCAGATACATTCTCCCACCCAGGTCCGAATATTCGCTCTGAGTACTTTGATGTGATGCATATTTAAGTCTTGCTTCAACTTAACCTGAAATAAAATGATGGTCTAAAGTTCACGAATGTAGATTGACAGACTTTGCGCACCTAACCCCAATTGCTTTACACGTTGCAGATTTGTCATTTCAATTCACATCATGGCGCCAAAGAGCCCCAAAAGTTTCAAATTATCATATAAGAAGCAAAATATGCATAAGTAGCCTTGAGGCTTTGAGATAGGTCATGGGCTTCTTTAATTTGGTACTACACTAAAAGATACCCCTGCCTGAGCTTGCCCCGTATCAGATGAGGAATGCGCTTCACTACAAACAGCCAAACAAGTTCTTGATAGAGAAGGACTATGAATGACGTTTTACTCCTCGAGAAAGAAACTAGCTGGATGTACCATTGAATTGTTGAAACACGCGGAGATCCCATGCGTCCGCCATAGCTTGATGACCAGCTACATTAGGATGGATGTAGTTGGTGAAGGCATACTGGGCCTTATATGAATCAGGGTTGCCTGGGTCCGCAAGGGCAGCTGCATAGTCAACCACGTAGTCAAATTTGGCTTCGTTCTTGATCCAAAGATTGAGGCGATTCCGGGTGGCCGCTCGTTGCGGATCGGCATAGTTGGAAGTGTCCGGATTAGAAGGTGGATCATAGAACGAAGGTGTAAGAGTGCCACCAAAAATAGGTAAGCCGGCTTGATGAACCTCGTCAATTATTTCCTCCCACATTCGCAAAACCTTCAACACACCGACACGCGAAGTCATTGTTTCACTGCAAGAGATGAGGGGTACCATCAGCAGCGGCACTATCAACTCAATGGCCTCTGTTTACACATTATACGAACCGGGCCGCTACGCAGAGGCGACCGTACCGTTTGCAATCTCTCCTCGTAAACCTACGAGCGAGAAGGCAAAGACTAGCCTTTTTCCAGGTTCGAGTGTCTTTGGGACACAGACTATAGATGTCCTCGGCCGTATAGTAGCAAGAGAGGGACAAGGAAACGACACAGCGATTGTGGGACGAAGCTGGGGTTTATATGGACCAGACGATGCTAACACCATCACCGGCGGATATGGGCCTAATTTTCACTTTTCTGCGCGACCTCGACTACCCAGCACTGTCCGCGATTTCATCCGTGTTCTGCCTCTTATCAGTGTCGGGTTTTTCTTAAGCTTCTCTTTCACAAGATTTATCCTCACTCGATTTATCTACCCAGAGGGTTACAGTCCAGACCCCAAACGGCTCAAGGGCCACAGGTTCAGCCATCGGACACTGGCAGTGGCTGATACAGGAGACGAGTCAACGGCGAAGAGGGCTATAGTGGACTTCAAATTTCAAGGCGATCAGTATAAGTTTACCGGCATCGCAATGGTAGAGGCTGCTGTGACACTTCTTCAGGGTGGGACAGAGGCGCACAGGTTAGGCGGCGGTGTTATGACACCAGCGATGCTCGGAGACAAGTACGCCGAAAACTTGCAGCGTCCAGGATCAGGTGTAGAAATTTCGATTAGAGCAGAGGGTTGGTAACAGGCAGAGGATGTCTTGGAGATCTTGGACATGTAGATACATGTAGAATATGTAGTTTCCCCATATCGTGATTAAACGTCAACTTTCTCTACCCTATAGACCATCAGCCATACATAGTCATGGGCACGCTGGCCTATAATAGTTTCAATTTCATGTTTATTTTGGATTATTCAAAATCCGATTTCTCAATAATAGGATTATAGGGTACATAAGCAATGTCAGAATAATTTGGATAGAGCCGCAGAGTCGATCTTAATCGAAGCAATACCAGACATGTACTTTGTCGTATGTGCCGCCATCACGTTTACGGTGTTTGCATTGGAAGCGGTTACTTTAAAGGAAATGTAGATTTTTACCAACTTGAGCTCTATTCAATATATAGTAGTAGCCCTCTTAAGTGTGTTGCCCTGCATTCTCAGGCGTTCCATGTCCCTCATAAGCACCCGACTAGTCTCTGTCCCTTTTCTCCGCCGACCCAACCTAACGCCGCATATTTGCCTCTCATTTAACAAGTTGTTGCATCTCCAAGCCCATTGTCAGTAGCTGCCAACAAAAACTCCATGAAACCAGCACTGGTTGCTCGGAGGTTGGAGTTGAACGTGGAGACAGTGGGGTAGAAGGGGCATGACGCAGCGGTATTCTCGAAACCAAACTCGACCGTGTATGCGTGGATGAGGTTCTTGGTGGGATCAGCGAAGTGTCGTGAGTAGGCATAATCGTCGCTGGCTCCCGATGTGGGATACAGGTCGGCCGACTGGAAAGACGTGTAAGACCTGCCGCCGCCAGCAGTCAGGGCTGAGGCCACGCGCTTGGCCACGGCGATCTGGGTGTCAGAGTCCGCCTGGGGGATATACTCGCCATAGCCCCTGCCGGGCGAGGGGGTGTCGGTGAGAATACCACGAACTTTGCTGTAAGTGCTGTTGAGGAAGTTCATGGTGGGATACGAGGACTGGTTCTCATCGCTGCCCCAGCTCCACAGGACGTCGCCTGCATATGAGTGAAGGTCGATGTACCAGCGGATCTTGGAGTGTGTGTCCATCACCCACTTGATGTTCTTGGTCTCAGGCTCAGAGAAAGCACTGGTTCCGTGGTATGTCTCGGAGCTAGGAGAGGTTGAGGCAACGCTTGACTGCGCCGAGGAGGCGAACAGGTTGCGGAAGTCCCAGAGAAAGTCGAAGTTGCGGTTCAGGTCAACTCCACCGTTGGGGTTGCGGTTCTTTCGCCAGCAGCTGTTTGAAGACTGGTCATAGGCCACTCCATCGGGGTTGCTCAGAGGGACGAAGACAATTCCCGCGGCCAGAGCCGTCTTTACCTGGGCGTTGGTGTACGACCTGGATCCGTACGTGAGTCCGACGTTGTTCTTGTTGGCGTACAACAGATCGGAGATGAAGTATAGGACGCTATCGGCGGAACCGCGCTCTCGAGCATGGATGTTGCCGTTGAAGTAGACACGATATGCATCAGTACAATTGCCTCCAGTACCACCGACTCTCGCTCCGACGACAGTTGCGCCATTTTGAGTCTTGTACGGAGTGTTGAATGTCTCGATTCCGTACGTGTTCGCAAGGCCCTGTAGGCCACTGATAATTTCCTTGGTGTTGAGAATCGTGCCGATTGAAGCAGATGAGGATTGAGTTCCAAGTCCTCGCGGCGCAGTTGCACCACCACTGAATCTATCGCCTGAACCAATTGGAGCTCCGTTGCTACCCTGGCGACGAACAAGAGGCTTCAATCCAGCGGCATCATCTCGCTCGTGGGGCAGGAGACATCCCGAGGACACGTTGGAGAGCGCAAGAAGCGCGAAGGGAATAAATGTCTTCATCTTGGGCTATCACTGCCTTGATGGATGGATATGAAGGTAGAAGTGAGTGAGCTACTTGGTTGTCTTGAGCTGCTCGATCCTATTTATATAATGATCGAGGGCATGCTGTGATTGCAGATTGATGTACGTTATGTCAAGCCTTGATAGTGGTGTCACATCGAGAGGAAACGGCAATCCGCCTTCATCTGGAAGCTGGAAATAGCGAGGCCCGCAACTGCCAAATGGAGATAGTCCACTGACCCAAATGTGAAAACAAAAGTATTACTTAGGACTTCCCTTGCGTTGACTGCCGGCCACCGGCTCGTATTATACTCCGTAGAAACAAAAGTGCCGATTGCCCCGCTCACAAAGGGATCTACATCTCGTTACAAAACGCACTTGGCACCTACACTACTCGCATCGTGGGGGCTGTGTATAAGTGGCGTGGGAGGGGGGCTGGTAATGACGGGGCTGGAGATCGAAATGGTTGTGCGTTGTCCGATCAGTCTCTATCCCTGGCGGTATGCATTTCCAGCTAGTTCCCTTGGCAAATGTCAGAATAGTAGATCGCGATATACGAGTAAGAAGTCTCAGCTCGGACCTCTCTGTCGTTGCCAATGAAAGTGCATGGCCTACTTTGTTTCGAGTAGCACATACCGACAACCGTAGTATACATCAAGTAATTAACTCACAACTGGGTGAATTAACTGCAAGGAATCTTTGTAAATGAACACTCTGCAAGGAATTTTTGTGCATTGACATAGATATAGATACCGGGCAATGAACACCAGGATAGGAAGGTCACGGAACCAAGCGCTCACGACTGCGGGTTCTCGATCACCATAGAGCTTCAGATTGCCTGGCAAATCGGCGCCCTCCGATGTGTGAATAGATGCTACGCAGTCACGACATTGTTGCTGTGGCGCGCGCTCTCTCTCTTCTAGTTGGGTAGGAAGCTCCGATTCACTCTCCTAAATGGGTGAAGGCAACCGATACTTATTGGCCAATGTGTGACGCTGTTGTCAAACCGACTCGCGCTGCCGAGCGCTTCTGCTGTCGTCATTTCTGTTTTGCCTGATTGGTGCTAGTTGCTCGGCCAGTAAACAAAGTGGCAGCTCCGTTTTTAGCTTAACTTATTTATGATTATAAGTTTAAAACTATAAGTTTATCTCGCAAGAAACTGTAGCTCGGTCTCTGACTGGTGTGGGCATATGGCCCGCTTAGGAAGGAGAACCTTCAAGACAAGAAGCCACTGCATGCATGTGGTGAGAGGGGCCAGCGATAGAACCGAAGTTTCTGTTCGATTGTCCGTTGTTTTGTGCCAAACTTTTGCCTGTAATCACTCTATCGCTGAACGTGCTGCTATGTAGGTAACTCAGGCTGCGCCATGCCCCCGCGCCAGCAGAGAAATCCTAGCCCGGACACACAACTCATTACAGCAGCAGTGCCATCTTTCTAAGTGCACGGCTGCGAGCTCCTATATGAGGGGAAACAAAAAGTTCGAGTAACATCGGATATTATGTCTATTAGTCCCCACTGCGTGGGTAGCCATACATAAGTACCGAGATGTGATTCAAGAGTATAGGACATTTAAGGCAGCTGACGCATTTCACGGCCCACAGCATTCCTTCATGCACGTTTTCTGAATCATTCTTCCGAATACTCCTCGACATCTACTCCGTATTCTAGAGACAATGAGCATGAGGGAGCCGCTGTACCAAGTGATTTTGACAACTAAAACTATGTCAGTTATAATCAGCTCTGTGGAAGCGAGACTTTCTCAATAGTACGAACGTCGCTTTGCGCCCGATATCCCACCATAGAAAAATATTTTAATTCTGGCCAACGCGACAGCGAAATTGTCGGAATAGAGGTAGACAAGCCGCACAGCTTTACAAGATTAGCGCAATGCTCAAGATATTCGCCCCTTCTCTCCGGCTGGCCATATTCAACTTCGTCAAGCATCCCCTAACCATCAGATTCACTGTATTTTTAACGGATAGGTTACCCTCACTGATTGACTCTGATTCATACAAAAGAGGAGTAGCCACTGTCGTCGCTCCTGTTGCAAAGCCCCCAACAGCGGTTGTGAGCCAGATAAGAAGTGTCATCCGACCTTCGGTAGTGTTGTACAGGACTCATTCTCCAAAAAAGCTCATTGGCACTACCAAATACCCATTTCTTGTGTATTTAGGTTTGCGGCATGAAAAACCAGCCCAAATTATCGCAAAATTAACGCATCCGTACTATAAGGCTGTGGTTTCTAGTAGAACAGCTGGGCCGGCATGAGAACATTACACTTCAATCGACATGCTGTGTTAAGATGCCATAGCATTGTATGCTCTTGTGCGCAGACATAAGAAGTGCGTGTGGTGAAGGAGTTGTGAGTGAGACCATGAGATTATCGCATCTCAATTGGGAGAAGCTGAGTAACCGTCATGACCAATATGATCAAGTCAGAGCCTCACGATACTCAGCTGCATCTTGCATATTAAGCCAAGAACATGGGGTTTACATGTGGTCGCCTAATTAGTGCATGCAGCTAGATCTTTAGTTCATGTTTAGCACAGCCCTTCTCGCTCTGGCAGTGCGAGCGTACATACCATGCATTAAAGTTGGTGTTGTATTGCTGCTTTTAGTCGTCGCCATTGGCTATGTTTGTTGATCGTCTGTATTTGATGAGATTTCTATCAGTATTGATGTCGACCTTTCGTTTCGCCACATTGAAGCGACTGTCCGCTCAACAATCCAACTTCATCATTTCGAAGTGCAACCGCTAGATGCTCAAGGCGTTGAGCTTCATGAAGCCCGCATTTTATGAGCCCTAGGTAAAAGCACAAGTTTTTGCGTTGTACGGCGCGGCTAATCGTTTTTAACCTGTGGGCAAATTTTGAAGAAAAACACATTGTTGTAGTTCGTACGTCAGAGATCTTGAGATATGAGGCCAAACAGCATCTCTATAGAGCTTATTGTTTGTAAGGCACGTCCATCCCCACCAAGTTACCCCGATAATACAGGAGTGAGACTTATATATGAACGACCTTTATGTAAATTAACATTAGTGTACGGATTGAGTTTCCTTTTCCAATACGTTCAAGTATCCTTAAAGTCGTCATCAATTTGCGCCTGGAACTTGGCCCATTGCCCTTTCACCCTGCAAGCAGAACTCCAGTAATTTCCCTTTTCATCTTTTCCAAAGATGAACCAACCATCAGCAGGCTTGATAGGCCCGTGATTTTCCTGAACATAGGACGGTCTACAAGGTACATCGCCCTTGAGTGTTTTACGGGCGGGGGCAAAGTCGAGGTCAAACAGACCCGCCTTGGACCAGTTGGAGAAGCCAATCTGAGCCATAGTACCGTCACCAAAGACAATAACGGGAAGGCCAGAGTAAGACGTCCGCACCATGTCGTGATAAGCTTCATGCTGTTCGCGCGTTCCCTGCTCGTTAATGGCACGACGGACCTGGAGAGCGAGCCAACTTAAAGGCTTGGAGGAGACATCGCCTGCCTTGACTAGCACATTGGCCCATCCGTAGGCATTGCCTACATAAGGATGTTCAGCTGAGGGTGGAATTAGATCGCCTTCGAAAGCTTTACGCAAGGACATTGCTATAGAAGTAGCAACCTGCAAGAAAATGGAGTCAGAACTGTTGTCATCATAAGGGAGGGAGAAAGGCATAAGTGCCGAGACTGACTGTCCTATCAGAGTTCATCTCCGTGGAGCTAACAATACAGCGAATGGTCCAAGCCGTCAAGATGTCGTTCTCAGTCAGGAACACTTTTGAAGCATCTTCGCCTTTCGCAATTGCTTCAGCGCAGAGCTCCTCCAAGGCCTTATCTAACTGCACTCGCCAGTACGTTTCGGGGATGCAAACCATGCGGTTCTCTTTAGTACGAACAAGCATATCAACACCATATCCGAGACCCCATTGAAGCAAGCCGCCGAAACCAACCCGTTTGTCAGACAAGACATGCTGTTCCGTGATTGGACGGGAATCTTTTGCCATTGCGTCAAATGGATCGGTATCGAATCCGCATGGCGTCGGGATTTGGTCCGTCTTGCCCCAGAGCATGGAGCTCCAACTGCCACGACGTACTGCATTCCTAGGGCATCAAATGCAACATGTTGCCACTGCAGTACCACGATTGTCTTGTCAGTAAAGGAGTTGACGCGCAGGCCCAAGACAGGACGATCAGAAGTGAGGTAGTCGCTGATTCCTCCAGGTTGGTATCCGGCCTCCCAAGCCAAGTCCGCTAGATTATCTGGATCACCTAAGACGGCAGGTCGAGTACTGGGTTGCGGTATCTTGGAGGCTGCCGGGTGGGAAGCGGCAGACATGCCATGATCAATGTGCGCAAACGCAATTGCTGGGCGGTCAGCTGTGAACTCTGCGGGAATATGCCATTCAATCTCACCAGCGGCCTAATCAATGACACGAGTGTCAGTATTGGTGTGCTAATGTGTTTAGATCAGCCTCAAGGTTAACTGCAGGAAACCGATCCAATGCAGCAGTCCTCACATTCTTCCTAAGCCGGCCTCCAAGACGTTGCCATCCCTCCCGCTTGACAAGTCCTTCAAGAGACTCGCGAAGTTTCTCTGGATCAAGCACGTCATCGAAAACGAGGGAGACCGCGAAGTTGTTACCTTGCACAAGGGGGCTCTTCTCAAAAAAAAATGCGGTGGCACGATTCGATCGCCCGGTATGTGCGCCGGACCGGGCTTTCGTCCGAACAACAGATTCATGTCGGTTTGCCAGGTAACTAGATTCACACCAAGAAGAACTTGTCTTTCTCTTTTGTGTTGAGAGAATATATTAGGAGCACTATCGGTAATCTGTATGCGCGGTCTCTTCCAGAGAATCCCTCGCGGGTAAAGCGGTTCGTAAACCAGATACGGAGTACTGCAGCAGACAAATCTTCAAACAGCGCGCAGTGCCGATTGTTGCCCTTTATGGATTTGGGTAACTGATTACTGTTGGTTTTATCCCATGACAACGAAATTAGCTACGGATGATACGAACCATGAAGCTGCAGGTATCTCTCTTTAAGCCCTGTCCAGTCCCACTATGTGCTGAAGGGTTTTGCGGCCGCAGCCATGCAGCAGCCATGCCACAGGCACGACGGATCTTCATGCCGGCCTCCTTTTTCTTTAACCTGGGTCTTTTTAACGGCTAAATACCCAGACGTTGCTGAAGATGTTTGGTAAGAAGTTACAAGGAAATGTGGGAAAGCCAAACCGCGGTCTGCCAGTCAACCAGTTCCGTTGTTCATGACACGGATAATACTTCTAGCACTTAACGATCGTTTTACCAATGCCATCGAAAACACATTTTTGGGAAAATTTGTACGCACACATTGGTATTGCGCCAGACTGGCTGAACACGGACAATTCAATGCTTGTTGGATGCAAAAAACGCTTACCAACAACTCTTGAAGAATTGGGGCGTGCAGGGGTGGATTGCAATCCAGCAAATCATAATCAGCACATAACAGACGGGGATCACGCTACAATGGGTTTACGGAGAAGTACTCCGGAAATGTATGCTACAATGAACCCCTGCCATGTGTTTCTTTACAGTACAAGCGAGGGCGTTTGACAGACCCGGATTTCTGACGCTGGGAATCAAAACTGTCGAATAATGATTAGGGCCCTTGTCGGTACAACCCCTTCGGCAACCGTTTGGTCTGGGGTCGGAGTAATATCATACATATAAACGGTTCACATCGGTAATATGACAATAAACTGATACGAATTGTTCATAATGCTTCCACGCCCTCGGATTTGCTAACCAGGTTTCTTGAATCATGCAATTGAACTGCAACCGATTAAACGGTGCTGGTATCGCAGAACATGGATCTATCTACGACACCGGCAATGCCGCCACCGGATGGTCAAACGCCACAGTTTGATGCACCCTACAATTCTTTACAGATTCGAACGGTGGTCGCTTTTGGAGTCACGTATTTCTTCGCTTCTTTTTTCCTCGCTCTACGTTATTTTCAGGCTGCCAAGCTGGTTAAACAGGTTGAGATAGATCTAAGTAAGATCCACTATGTCGTTCAACAACGTTCAATAAGCGACGGCGAAGGCGCCAAAACCGGATCTCGGATCTTTTTGCTAACTTTCATTTACTTGTAGTTATCCTCACTCTTGCTTACGGCCTCTCCTTATACTACTTCATAACATTGGTCAACCGTATGTTCACTTGGCGCCCACTAACATGTCCTCTAAACTAACTAAATGCCATATAGTAATGAGCCATGGCTGGGAGAAACATCTATGGGATGTGTCGCTAGCACAAATCATGGAGTTCAATAAAGTAAGCAATACCATCATGAACATTACGCAGCAACACGAGTCTTGTATCGTATTGACACCAGCTTAGGAATTGCTCCCCAACACCCTGACCTATTTGATCACTCCCTCCATCACTAAGATGGCCATGCTGGCTGTCCTTTTCCGCATCAATCCTTCATTAATTTACCGCTGCGTCGTTGTCAGCGCTGCCGTCGCAATCCTCGCCTATACTTTAACCTTGACCAGTATTACCGGCGGCCCGTGTAATCCTCTTAAATCTGGAACGACCAGCTGTTTAGAGAACGTGGCTTTAGCACAAGCTGTGATGAACATCGTCTCCGACTTTGCTGTCATAGCTATACCCATCCCAACTATCCACAGGCTTAACTTCACATTGAAACAGAAGCTCTCGGTTGGGTGCATTTTAGCTATAGGATCTGGGTCCGTCTCTCGCTACACTTTCCACTTTGGCTCACTTTCGTATTTGCTAACTGTCTTTTAGTGTCGTTGTTTGCTCCATAGCTCGTCTACCGTACGTTCTCATCCTCGACAAAACTACCGATGTTACCTATACCGAGGCCATTCTAGGTGTGTAGTCAATCGTCGAGATCAACCTTGGCATCACATGCGGCTGTGCAATAAGATTAAAGTCCCTAGCCGTGAAGTACTTGCCCCAGCTTGGATTCTTCTCTTCGAACAAACATGAGAGCGAAACCCATGATTCGAGGCGCAAATGCCTCCACAAAGATGGGGACAACGCCCAACGATCGTACCAGCTCCACAACGTTCGAAACGAAAGAGTTGAGTCAGGCTTCGACAGCGGAACCAGCGACGTATACAGATCCGGCCCGAGAAGCAGAGACTCGGATAACGGGAGCACCGATAAAATATTGGGTTAATATATGGCTGGGAAGAGATGGGTATTTTATTTGTCAATTTTAGAGATGGGATCTAACCGGGCCTCAAATTAGACTTTTTGAGCAATCGATTTTCTCAAAGAAATGGTATACGGCGTTCAAAAATGTGGATTGGTGATTGGATTCAGTATTATAGAACCAGAAAATGTTTATGTGAAAGATTGAAAGACAACCCACAAGCCAGCCGTTGAGGTGGCTAGAGATGAGCTGGCCAACAATGCGTTTCTCGCATTACGAACTCGCAACTGCTTCTCAAAAATACACCGTCTACTCGGACGCAGATATCACATTCGGGGAGCAAAAAAAGAAGAGAAGATACATACAACAGCCGGTGTTCGCTAATGGTCACCCACTTAACTACTAATCTGCCGGTTAGAGACTTGTCTATGGGGGAGCAGACGAGACCCCGAATTCTTCTCTACCTATGGTCGTATGTGCTTGGTTCGGTCGTAAAATTGCTCCTTCTCCTGAGTGTAGCAATGAGGCAACGGCTCATCTCCTTGTTGTCTACCTGGCTCGTCTGGCTTAGAGAATAATGGTGATGAAATGCGGTGGTGTTTCGCCACTGCATCCCATATTACAACAAACCATGAAAGTAGTGTTATTGGGCAATGTCAGAGAGAAAACAAGTCAGCTTCTCCACGCTGCGCCCTCCAGTAATTGGTTGAGACAAGCATCTCGTGGCAACTCCTCAGCAGCCACAACCACTTGTTAGCAAAGCTCTCTGACACTTCCAAGCCATATGGATCCCAAGGATCTCCCCAAACCATAATACCAGCTTTCCCGACGTCGCCAATCATGTCTCTACAGAAATCGTAGTCATTGTAAAGCCCCTCATTGTGTAAGAGAGCATCTCGGAGCGATGGAATGGGTAGAGGATCGATGTAAGGATGATGAACCTGAGACTTCTGGAGACTTGTTGGGTGAAGGCTCGGCGGTACGGAATTTGTGTTGAATGCTGCAGCTGGTGCATTAAAGTACGAGATTGCATTTTGATCTTTTATTATCTCCAAATTGAGATTAAGTGCATCCATGTTGTACTTGATAGCCCGGTAGCTATTGAGCTGCGTCACAGACAGGAGTAGGTCAGACGTTGGATTGCCTTGTAAGAGACTACAGTTCACAGCGTAGGCCAGCCGATCCATAACCGCCATGGTCTGAGCACTGTCAAGGAAACACACCAGGGCAGGCTGAAATAGCGAAGAGGTTCCAGGCGGAAGTCCAACGAGCTCAATACCTGTTTCGCTATCAGCACACCTGCTGGTGCCTTGTGACCTCGACATCGAGGAGACGCGACGATTAACAGGTTGAACATCCGTCCTAGGTCGACCTCGAGATCTCCGCTGGATCCCTGCCTGTTCCTCTCGTCGCAGCTTGCGCTCTCCTGCTCGATGGTGAGGAGCGCGAACAAACTACATAGCAAAAAATAAAAAGGTAATCACGTACTAGAAATCCTCTGATTCAAGCGATTCTGCAGCTTTCGTCGAACTCTAGGGTTCGCCATTTCGGCCTCATCTTTTCTCCCGCCTTCTGAGGTATTTCCTGATTGTGTACCCATACCAGAATGGCTCATTGCGCTGTTGTGAATGGTACTTCATCACTGCGAAAACGCGTCGTCATTTAGACGGACAAAGGGTTATGTCCGGACGTCGCATTGGGATGCTGACGGATTTTCTGCAGGGCTAGTGCTACAGCAGGGACGAACTGTTACTACAGTGGCTTAGAACCAACTTGTTCACTGTGCTGACCGAATTTTGATTCGATATAAACGCGGCAGTGGAGAATGATGACACAATTATAGTCGGTCTAATTAAGATAGTAGCCAGATGCATCTTGCTGGTGGAACCATCGATGTGTCGATAGCAATCCGTATTAGGGGGGACAATCATACCTCTACCTGGGATGAGAAGTAACTGCAAACTGCTGCTTGAAGCGATTTGTATAGTTGACAACAATATAAATACGTCGATCCATCCGTCTGGTATCCTCGCTCATAATGATGTGCATCTGGCTCTGTTCTTCTCCTTGACTACCTGTATACCGCAGCAATGTTCAGCCCTAAATCTACAGCAACAGAAGTTGCAAAGGCTTTGGCAACACAAATTCGTGGCAAGACGGGTGAGACTACTTCTAAAACATGACTTCCAGGCTTTGAGACAAATATCTTACTATTATGAATTACATGTAGTGTTAATCACTGGCGTAAGCCCTGGAAGTCTTGGATCCGCTACGGCTATGGCCATTGCCTCACAACAGCCGCAGCGCCTGCTCCTTGGCTCGCGCACCATGAAAAATATCCATTCTGTGATTGATGATATTCATTCTGAGTATCCATCCACTGTTGTGGAGCCAATATTGATGGATCTATCATCGCAGAAGTCTGTTCGTGCTGCAGCAGCAGACGTTAACTCTCGCATTGCGAAGCTAGATGTTCTCATCAACAATGCCGGAATTATGGCTGTGCCAGATCGCACACTGTCTGAAGACGGCATTGAGATTCAGTTTGCGACCAATCATCTTGGCCACTTCCTGTTCACCAACTTGATTCTCAACAAGCTTCAAGCTGCAGCAAAAGACGCCAAGAAAGGAGGAGACACACGCATTATTAACCTCAGCAGCAACGGTCATCGCATCTCGCCGGTTCGATTCAGTGACTGGAACTTTGAGAACAAGATTGTGCCTCCAGAAGAGCAAGCAGATGAAGAAGCATACAAAAGCCGAGGACAGACTTTGGAATGGAGCAACGGATATGAGAAACTTGTAGCGTATGGCCAGTCCAAGACAGCCAGTATCCTGTTCTCTCTATACTTGCGGAATAACTTAGTCGAAAGTGGGATATTGTCATTCAGTGTGCATCCAGGAAGTATGCTACGACTCTACACCTGATGGCCAATGCTTCTTGATATGTTTATGTAGGCTGACAACTTCTTTTCTAGCTATCATGACAAATCTCATCCGGCACATGGACTTGGGTAAACTGCAAGCCTCCACTAAGAATGCGCCAGCAGGAGGAAACTCCCCTGCCCTCAAATCTCTCGACCAGGGTGCCGCAACTTCAATTTTTGCGGCCTTCGATCCATCACTAAATGGTGTGTCTCAAACAATCTCCCTATGCCGTTGCATACTTCATTTAGCAGGGTACTTACCAATATTTCTAGCTGAATCATCTATATACTTGGAAGACTGTCATACCGGTATTGCTGAAGCTTACGCCAGCGACCCTGACTTGGCAGCTAAACTCTGGAAGCTCAGTGAATCTATCGTTGGGCAAAGCTTCTCGCTAAAAGTAGAGTCTGATGCATAGGCATTATTTTGTCCTGGTTGTGCATTTGATCGGTAACATCGACAAAAAGAGACCTGGTCCAGAAGGAGGGAAGGGCACATGTGAGCTGGTACTACTGCTGGTGGTGGAAGAGGCCGGAGCGCATCTCGGAGGAGTCCGGAGTATGTAATTGTGTCGTGGAAAAGTAGAGGTACTCAGTAGCGGCTATTAGTGCTCGGGTTGGCGGCCTTATTTTAACCCTAAATTCTCCATCTATGTAATCTTGGCCAGATTGGCAAGGAATGCAGGATTCCATTGGTGAGCTTGGCAGCGGAGCTGAACAACCGCGGCCAGTCGATCAGACTTACATCCCTGACTCACTCACATGGCGCTTCCATTTTCCATCCTCGCATTCATCACCAGCGTTTTCGGGTCCTGCCTACACTACATCTCCTCTGCCTGGCACAAAATATACTCAAATTATCCTCAGCTCTCCTTACCAGCAGACTAGGTGTTCTCTTTGCTTCGTGCAACCTCCCCACATGTCCTTTGCCAGCCTTCCCTTCGAGCTCCGCTCCCGCATCTGGAGCTTAGCCGTGGTGCCTCGCCACATCACAAAGGTGCGCGCGAAAAAGAGCAATGGCAGCTTCAGCAAGAAGCAACGCCAGAAAGGCAAGGACATTCTCTACGAGACCACGTCAACGCCGCCCCCGGCACTCATGCATGTGTGCCACGAGTCTCGTCAGCAAGCACCCTACCAGCGCGCATTCACCGCGGGCACCGAGCCGCGCTGGACGTGGGTCAACTTTGAGCTCGACATTTTCTGCGTCTCGAACCTCTACGCCCTTGCGGACATTGTCTCCCACCGATCTGAGGTCCAGCGGCTTCAAATTCGGACTGACGACCACCCTGACTGGTACGAGTCAGCCACCAGATATAATGGGCTGTCCACTCTCTCCAAAATGGAGAGCCTTAGGGAAATTCAGGTTGTGTTGGAGCCTGGCGACTTGATGTGGGGAGACGTGTTCGCGGATTATGGCTTTGGATGCTGTCCTGAAGACAACATCTCGTTCCTCGACGAGGGATCCGGCCTCGTGCTCACTGGCTCTCAGCTAAAGATGGTGGGCGACTGGCGGATAGTGTTCTCGTTTGACAGCGAGGGGAACCCGCCCGACCCGGATAGACTCTCGGATGAGATTGATTATGCCCTCGACGATTTTTGGCATATGACTTTGGCACAAATGCATGAGCTGAATTGAAAAAGTGTGTATTTGACAAGTTTCTACTAGATATTAATAAGTATAAGAGATCAAGAAGGCTAAACGCCAAGAAATGATGCTCTCATTCATCACTGCAGTCCTCTTCTTCATCCCGTTTATCGGCTCGGGTGGCGCGCCGCAGTCACTCGCTCACCGTAGAGAATTCCTTCCTATTCCTTAAAGCAGCATGCCCAGGTGAGCGGTGATTGAGCATTTTCTACAAACACATTTAAATAAAAGGCCATTTAAGAAGAAAATCCACTAATCGTGTTTGTTAGCGACACGAGCAATCTTCGCCAGTCCGAAAAGTTGTAGTATACTCACCCATCGACCAACATGGCCTCGCCACTCATGTACGAGCTCATCCAAGAACTTAGATACGTAATTCCATTGGCGATTTCCTCAGGCTGGGCAAATCTTTTCATTGCTGTTCGGTGCATTGCCTGGTCTAGGATGTATTGCAGTTCTGGACCCTCGTTTCCTATGTCAATGGTTGTGAACGTGTAGCCCGGGCAAATCGCATTTATTCGTATGCCTTCTGAGGCATATTGGTTCGCATCCTATCGTGGGATATTAGAAACAGTCCATATGTATTCAATAAAGATGTTCGAATAAGAAAACTTGCGCTTTTTGTTAGGCCTCTAATGCCATGCTTAGCTAGAAATCTAGGTTAGCTTCCATAACAGCCTTCGGCGCATAATACTTTAGATGAAGCTATACTTGTAGAATAGGCTGTTCCTGCTGGAAAATCTCTTGTGCCGAACCCGCCCCAAACAGACGACATGTTTACAATTGTACCTCGAACCTTACCGAACCTAGACTCTGGTTAAATTACCGTCTCGTTAACGCGCCCAGAGGTGCCACCCACTCTTGCTGAACAGGTTCTTGTTTAAGCATGATTTTGATCTGTTCTCTTTGTGCAATCCACATGCTTGTCAAGTTGATATCAATGAGGTTCTTGAAATCGCTCGTTGAGACGGATATGCTGGGGGCCAAGGGGCCTGGAGTGCCGACATTGTTCACCGCATGGTCGATTCGCCCAAATTTTGAATAGGCGGTTTCAATAGCCTTGATGGTCGAGTCTGCATTCGCTGCATCAAATTCAATTGGCAAAATCTCAACGTTCGGGTATAGATCCTTCAACTCTTTAGCCGTCTGCTTTAACGTGGCCGTATCAACATCAGCGATGGCAACTTGGGGGCTTCCATATTTCGCAAACGCAAAGGCAGTGGCCTTTCCGATACCTAAAGTATTATTAGCTGGGCTGTTAACATGGGGCATCGTCATCGCCATATCATCGTATTTACCGCGTGCAGCACCGCTAATGAACGAGGGGCCATGCAAGAATTTAGTAAGCATTGTGATGTGAGCAAGGTATGCACCGATATACTATTACGATCTCCGATCAGTATTACTGTATGTCACAAGCTGTGAGAGAGCTGTTTGCATGACACTCTATATTTAAAGGCAAGCTAAACGAGTGCTCTTTATACGTGCAATTGATGAGAGGAATACGAGCTGAAGCGACCGCTTTTAGCGATGGCTTCTTTCTTGCCTCAAGGGTGAATAATCTGTTTCCAACATCAATAGTACACACTAAGATTGATTGGGCTGTGTCGTATACTCGTAGGATTAAAATGGTGGACAGATTTCTCAATACCTGTTAATCAATGGCGCGACTTGGATGGGCAGCGCGGCCACTCGCACTTTGGCGGATGCGGGAGGGAAGACGGCAGCTAAACACACGCGGAGAGCGGACTCCGCTGTGGACCAATCTGACATCCCTCGTGCATGCATTTCGATCAAAAGCTACATGTATTATAATAGTACTAGGAAAGCGGCAAGAGATACTTATCTAGGTGAGGAAGGGATAGTGATCACCGGCCCTTGTGTTGAGAAATTAGAACAATTTTGGCACAGAAATGTCCCCTTCCAGTACGTGTAACCATACGCAACTTCGGAATACTGTCTCGTTCGCTGAAAGTATCCAGAGTGAGCCACACGTACTCTGCGCGCACGCGTTTGTCTTTATTGGTGACGTGGCAGTCGGGCTTGTCGGTGATCCTTCACCCAAGTCTCGGCCCGGGAGTGAAATCAGGATCATTTTCTCGTCAATAGGGCCTACCATTTTCGTAATCAATCTGACCAAACCCTCTATGTGAGACATGGCCGATATGTGGCGCTTCATAGCAGCGCAATAAAAAAAATCATGCTCATTCTTTCAGCCAGGAACTGCAATCTCTCTGCGCTCCCTCTTTAGATACCTGCAGGCAGTGTCGTGGTTCCCAAACCAAGCCAGTGTCAATGCCCTCGATCATCAGCCGGCCCGGAGTGGAGACGAAATGCGGCTGAACTCGATAGCCACCAATGCCCAAATGGCCCAGGAGTTGGGCCATGTGTTGTATGATGGTTATTTGTTGCCCAAACAGGAGCTTTTGGGAGTTCTGAGCTGTAGGAGAATACATTATAGCGACCAACTGCGCATCCAAGGCGCCTTTGATGTCCGACTCGACAGAGTCGCCAATCATACATGTTGTGTCGAGAGAAGCGCCGAGCTGTTCGATGGCGGATTGGAAGATACGGCGATCAGGCTTTCTATACCCAGCTTCCTCAGAAGTAATAATGCGGTCGATCAGATGGTGTATGCCGATGGCTTTGACTTTGGCTGTCTGGTCTTCGACCTGCCCATTGGTGATGATAGCAATGCGGTATCCATGTTCACGCAGCCGGGCCAGAGCCTCGATACTTCCTGATGTTGCCCTCCGATTCTTTCTATAAACTGCCTTGTATGTGTCACGGAACTTCTGGACCTCGTCAAGGCTGGGTTCTGGTAAGTCAAGCGATGAAAAAAATAGGTGAAGTTTCCGGACGTCGGCCTCCTCGTATGTGATCACCTTGTCTAGGTAAGCATCATAGGCTTGTTGAAGAGCAATGTTATACTTGTCGATCAATTCATCGACAGTCTTCTCCGTGAGTCCAGTATAATTCCTCTGCATCGCGGCTATCGCAAGGCGCAGCGAATGGTGGTGGTCAAACAGCGTACCGTCCAGATCAAAAAAGACAACTTTCATCCGTGTTAGCTCCATGGCGAGTCTTCGTTGGGCGCTGAGTGTGGAACAGCGGAGAGGGATTGCGAATGGAACAGGCAAAATAAACCAAGGGTGATTGTCTAAGAAGCTATCGCTAAATGCACAAAGCTTCTGTTGAACACCGTAACAATCGATACGTGGTTTCAAGCTTTGTATCGGAGTAGCCACATATTCCGTACCCGTTGGTCTAAGCTCAAGTAACGATTTAAGTATCTGCAAGTATTTCATCCCGAGGAAGCTTTGAAACATGATGGAAAGCCAATTTTAGCCCTTTGACAAAGTCAGATTGCGGCCACCAAAGCACAAGAACTCTGATAAGCTACAAGGTCTTAGAGGGATACTCACCAAGCTTCTGTACAACTTTCTCAATATATCTAGCCCCTACCGCAATGCCATCTACGTCCCGACAGTTTTTCTCATCTCCAAGATCTTCGTCGTTTGGGTCCAAGCACCTCAGGCATTTCTTCACAGCTTTGTTCAACTTGGTGCCCATCCTCAGTCTTGAGGCGCCTCTTGCGAGTCGCAGGAACCTGTCTTTCACTCAATGAGGGGATTTTAGTAGTTCAGATCCATTCATGTTATAGCATTTGTGGCTTCCTTTGCTGATGATTAGTATCGTCTCAGGCTGGATATTCTCAATGCATCACTTCTCTTTAAACGGATCTTTCATATACTTGCTATGCTCTCATCAATTGTTCTCGTGTATAATGACTTCGGTCTAGGCTGTCAAAGATTCAACAAAGCTCTGCTCTCTCTTAATCTGCTGCAAAGAGATTGGGCGGAGCACTGTCTCTGATAGCCCCAGGCTGACAATCACATCAACATGTGTTGTGATGTGCTCGTTGACCGTCTCATATACCACATCGACGCCGCCAGGATATCCACCACGGCTGCACACAACTCCCTCCCACGCCTCAATCACTCGAGGCTGTATATTCATATCCCATGTTGCTCGCCAAGTAACAACAGACTGCCGCAAATGACCAATGATAAACTCATACTTGAATAAAGCTGCCAGCCCCTCTCGTCCATACCATATCTCCATCATCTTGAGCTTGGGCATGTGACAAGCTGCAGATGCTGCTGCTTGAAAGAGGTCCATAATCTTTGTAGGACATGTTGTGGGCCCTAGAAGCTGTGAAGTAAGGGTAAGATGGCTTAGGTTCGGCCAAGTTGAACATTCAGAGAAAAACTCTGCAGCATCCACCATGAATGACGCTGAGAGAACTTCTACGCCAAGATTCACTTGGGCAAGCTTCCGACTGAGATGAATAGTGGGAGCATGGGCTGGCGAGTTTTGTTTTAGAAAATAGAGCGGGTATTGTTGGTTGGAGTTTTCAAAGATTGTTAACTTGCTCAGCCCTTCGGTAGCCGAAAGAAGTGCAAGCAACGCTGTGAAAATGTTAGTAGCTGGAAAAATTCAGTGATGAATTACTCACATCCATTCCAGGTCTCGTGCATCTCGGGAAACCACTGCATCCATATCTCATAGTGGAACTCACGTAGGTTAGGAAGGTGGGAAAGAATCTGGGAGACCGTAAACGTCTCCCATCGGCGATAAGTCTGTAGCCTCATTTCAAGGCGTGTCACGGCCGGAACCTTTGGTGTCTGCGCCCAACACTTTCGTTCATCCTTGATGGGGAGAAAGACATGTCCAAAGAGACGATCGAGACTTCCTTTTGGTGGGATAGACCCCAAGGCAGTCGTTTCCCATCAGTGCTGGTCGGGCTCCTCGCTTCTGGCGATTGACATCGGCCCGACCTGGTGTCCCATAGCGTCTGGAATAAAGGTTAGGTACTTGAATGCGTGCTCATTATCGCTCTTCGAATACAGGCTAATGTCGAGGGTCAGGCTCCCATTTGGCTCCCACGTGGCCAAAGCTGTGAACAGCGACTGGAATGATTCCAAGATGAGCTTGTTCTCGCTTTTGCTTGTCTGAAAGCCTCTAGAGTCAAAAGAATTGCACTTGCGGCAGTCGTATCGCTCAAGCTCTATACAGAACCATATATAACGCACATGATCCCGGTTGCGCTGCGTCATGGCATTGAGTTGGGCGATGCGCTGGGACGTGACTCGTATATATGCAAAGTTGTGTGGCTCGATAACAGCCTGCCACTCCCGCGACACGACAGCAGCATTGGATACTCTGCGGTTCTTGTCATCTGTTAGGGCTTCAAGAATCATGTATTTGATTTCGGGAGGGAACTGAGACCAAATCATCTTGACGTAAGTAGTGTGTGAAACGCCTGGGATGGCTTACTCAGTAAGTTGATTTTGTCCATGAGGATTCCTGACTGTGGAGGGTAGGTGGCTTCTTATAGTTGAATTTGTGCGCATTGTGCCTTTGTCGGAGAAAACCGGGGAAATATTCATGCGATCAAGGTTACAAGGTGCTGATACTTGCGATTTTTGCCTCCCTCCAAACCCTTATTATATAGTGCGTTTGGCTCAGTCTAAGTTGCTACTTTAGAAGTATAATTTCGATATGATTAGGCATCTGTGAGTCAAATATGTGCAGCTTTGAAGGCTACAGCCGCGAAGATGCAGCCGTAAAGTGACGCATAATTGAGACAAAACTTTATCAAGGGAAATTTTTGAGTTTCTTCCGCAAAAGCTTAGCTAGGGATGAGGGAGCTGAGGAAGCTAAGTGTAAATTAACTTCGGTACACTAGGGTTAAACCTCATTAATGTTATTCTTAAGACGCATTTACACACCTAATAAGTGAATTATGGTGCTAATACTACCTGGTACGGTTTGGCACGTTCACATGTACAATGAACATACAGATATACATACATGGACTAGATCAGTAGACAACAGGACTAGTTCGTGGATGCCAAGCGCTCGTCTCTTGTTCATCCATAAAGACATCATAGGTGTTCCGGCGACTCGTCATTTTGGCAAGTTAGGCTTTTTAAACCACGGAAAACGACACTGTATGCGTGCTCATTGGGTGACACTCAACATTCGACTCATATGACGATTTATCTGAATTCATCTCTGCATAAATTTCCCGGTCACTTACATCAGTTCGAGCAGTAGACTCTTGACGATATGTGTAGGATTGCCCCGAATATGACTCTTGACCAATGCGAATTGAAGTTAGATTTGTTCATTAGCCCAGCTTCGGCACACTGATATCTGCCCAAATTCTTGTACAAAATAAGCCGTTATGGGCTTTGAAGGATGAGGCGCCGGTGGCGAGGGCAACTTTCGTCGTGGGGTTTTCTACGCCTTCAACGTCCGCAGACACTCCTACGGGCCGTTCATTCTTATCAATCAAAATTCCGTTTCCATAATTACTGAATACTAATCTCCCCTTAAAGACCTGCACTTTTTAAGCTGGGCGTATAGAAATGGCACGATTCGATCATTTTTGGTGTAGTCTCTTCGAATATAGCAATCAATCATTTCTTGCCTTGGCCAAAATACCGCGCGCTTCCATGTTTCAAATATTTATAAAGGAATATGAAAGAAGACAATATCCTCTTCCTTTGTCTTTTTCACTCCTCCTTGAACTAGACCTCAGATAGTTGTTCATCGCCCCTCTCTTTGATCTCGACTTCCGACAGTTGTTCATCGCTCTTCCCTTTGTTCTAGACCTCAGACAGTTGGATGCCCAATGGCTCCCCTCCCATTAGTATACAACATACGACGGAGGTCTGCTATTCTTAGTGCATTTCGTGGCCCATATGAAGAGAGGAGCGTTGCTGGTAGCGAATCTCACTCTTCATGCTCATGGCTCACCAAGACCTCAGCACATCGCCTTGAACGACCACATCTCCGGTTTCTTTCTCTGTCCTTAATGTCTACGACATATATTCCATCCTGTAGAAATCACTGCATGGTATTGTTCGCTGTAGGTTGGTGTGGATCCAGCTTCTAGTGCCATGCCAGAAGTCTGGGCCAAAAGAGAAGAGCGATGGGGACAAAGAGGCAGCTGAACGACATTATAGCTGCCACTTTGCAACTAGAAATGTAATAAAAGAATATGAAACGGAACAGAACACGAGAACAAGTCTCGTGTTCTCTTGTTCTTGTGTTCACGTGTGTCACATATTCTTTTGTAAACGATGTATCCTAACTTGAACTCAGACGCTCTCTTTCAAGAGTCTTTGTAGCCGTCTTGGCTACCAGGCATGTGACATGCCAATCGTGCCACAACTGTTCAGCAGCGCTCTGCATATAAAAGGGTTGGCCATCATACCCTTTTCATTCGAAGAGACAAGTCATTACATCTTCTTCTCAAGAATCACCTTCAGTATCACCTTAAGCACGTCTTACCTACTCTGAATCACTCATCTATCCTCGAATAAGCATCCTCAACCATGATGGCGCCAACATTACTCAACTTCGGCCTCCTCCTCCTCGCTCAGCTACACCTGACTTGGGCCCTCGTCCCACGCGCATCGGCCACGTCATCATTGGCTTCAAACCAGCCACAACAGACGGGTACTGCCATCAATTGCGCCCAGTTCGAGACAGTTGTAAAGGACCAAACATGCGATAGTTTCCAAAACTTCGGCCTCGACCGGGATCAATTTAAGGCCCTGAATCCACAGATCAACAAGGGTATGTACCATACAATGTGTTAAGATGGGGGAAAATTGAAATACAAAGTCACTGACCAATGCTGCAGAATGTAAAAACCTTATTGCCGGTGAACGCTACTGTGTGAAATTGGCCGTATCCAGCAGCTCTTCCATCGACACATCGGCGAAAACTACTCTCGCCACGGCGACTGCGATGACCACGATGACCACTGTAACCAAAACGACCACAACGAGCTCGGCGACCAGCTCGGTCGCCGTCGTCACGCCAATCCCCTTCCAGACGGGAATGGTAAATAACTGCATTGAATTCTGGTACGTCACAGCAAAAGACACATGCTATTCCATTGCTCAAGCAAGAGGAAAGACAGTTGGGGATATTACGAAGTGGAATCCGGGTGTGAAAGAGGATTGCAGCGAGTTGTGGTTGCACAACAACATTTGCACAGGCGTATCGGCTTGATTTTATAGTACCTATCCAAGTATCCATGGAATGGTAGGGTGAATAGTGGTGGATTTGTTTCAACAATCTGTTTGATGAGAATAAGGGAAGGCAACTTTGGGTGCAACGTCATTCATTTACACTACAAGGCGAATCGCCGTCCGCTCTCTTGGTTCTAACATTGCGCATATGTTTATGCTGGGTTTACTCAGCAAGTATAGTTTTGCTTCCTCTATCTAAGTTGGCTTCAATAAAATTATCGCTTCATCTTTCTTTGCATCAGTTCATTTGTAAGAGACATCTAAGTAATCTAAAAATTACACAGCTACTTCTATCATGCTGGCATAAACCGCATTTACTCTCCAGTAAAAATCGGCTTGCGCTTCTCGCTGTAAGCCTGTAGAGCCTCGATGCGATCTTTCGTTTCGAGAACAGAGTCATAGGCCGCATTTTCCGTCGCCTCGCCGGGAACTGCAAGCGCACTAACAGCAGCTCGCACAGCGACAGGTCCGCCCATGCATATCTCTTGAGCCAAGGCGATGCCGGTCTCGATAGACAGAGCCCGCTGCTTGTCAGGACTCTGACCGGCTCCCTCCGCATCTGCTGTGACGAGACGGTGGCACAGGCCCATGGAAGCAGCTTCAGAAGCCTCCAAGTGACGCCCTGTCAAGACGAGGTCCAAAGCATTGGAGGAACCGACAATCTTGGACAATCGGTAGGTACCACCAGCTCCAGGAATAATGGCTAGCCGGGTCTCGGGCAAGCCTACGCGAGCATTGGACGAGAAGACACGTAGATGGCAGCAAAGCGCCAACTCCAAGCCACCACCGAGAGCCAGACCAGACACGCAGGCGATGGTCGGGATTGGAAGCGCTGCGAGTCGGGAGAACATGTCTCGCAGGGCGACCAAGAACTCTTGCGTCTCAGAAACGCTCATCTTCTTTCGCTCTTTCAGATCTGCTCCGGCGCAAAAGACGTTGTCCACTGCGCTGGCGAGTATCAGGGCTCTGGTTCCAGACGCTGATTTCTCGCTGTGTATCTCTTCGATTTGTTGGCTAAGCTCTTGCAACATTTGCCTGGAGATGGCATTTTTAGTTTCAGGACGGTATAATTGAATGATTCGGATGGTTCCTACATGAGACGCATCAACGTTACTTACGCGCAACGTTGAGGGTATTTTTGTGTTGTTGGGCTGGGCGATGGGCGCTGAGATTGTAGCATCCCCTTCTCTGGTAAACCGAGTGAAGACGTCGTCTTCCAACAGACACTGGATGGTTTTTGGTTCCTCGGTAATCAGGAACTCGCAACTCCCATCATCCAGCCGGGGCATCACAATGATCACGCCACATACAGTTCCTGTGGCTGGCAGACGGAGAGCTTTCATATGTCCGTCACCAAATATAGGTCCAAAGTCCATCTCGTGTAGACCAAACTTGAAATGGCTCGTTATCATGAGTCCCCCTGCGGCCAAGTCCTCGATAATATTGCCACGCGTGTGAAACTCCTTTTCGGTCCGCTCCGCGTATGCGAGAAGGTCTCGAAATTTCTCCCCAGTCATGGAACTGATCTCAGCACGCACCATATGGGACGCCTCTGCGATACCGCGTTGGTCATCTGCTATCACCGCCAGGGGCGTCGAAGTCTTGGTCACATAAAGGACATTACCAAAGTACGGGTCAGGAAGCCGGAGAAGGGTTCGGCAATCTATGGGCTGGGCGAGATGTGTAATTGCTCCATCGGCCAGAATACCAGCACGATGACGAGCAAGCATAATGCTCCGCCAGATAAACCCTGTGATGGCATCATTTGTCGATATCCAGGCATCGGGGCCACGAGACGGTGCGGAAGCGACACGTTTCAGTTCCACCAGAGCTTTGGCGCTGATGCGGAATGTCCGGCATGAGGTCTCGACATCTCTGATTTGGAGATGGGCGCTCATAGGTTCTGAGGTCCAAGCAGCGTGGTTCTCAATAGCTCCTTGTGCTCCGTTTCCTGTGACGAGAACAGTCCGATCAGACAGGTAGATGTCCTCTCTTTGTTTCAGAGGAAAGCCAAGTTCGCCGGATTGCGCTTTGACAAGCTGATTGGCAAAGATATTGATCACTTGTGTCACTCCTCGACCATCGGCGGCGATGTGGACGATTGACACGACAAGAAGCAAGCCACCGTCAATGAAATTTGCTTGAAACGCGCAGACTGGTACTGGCTCTTCTGAGACATAGGCAACATCTGGTAAAGGGCAGAGCTTCTCAGTGTCTAGAAGGTTCTGAGAGAAATTTGACTTTTCGAGTTCAGCAAAACTGAGCTCGCTCGATAAGTCTTTGATTTCCAATCTCGCGTTTCCTTGGGGTATAAGATTGCGAAGCCAAGGACGGCCTCCTTCCTCTTCAGAGAATGGCACTATTGAGCCAGCAAGAAAAGGAACACGCTGGACGGTGTGATGGAAAGCGATGTAGAGATAGTCTACTACTCGCTGGCGGTCTACATCGGGTGAGAGCGAGAAGCATAAGATTCTTTTGGAGTGAGTTGGCGGAAAAGTGCGATCCAAATGAGACAGTTGAAGCTCAAATGGGGGGCACGGCACCAGGAAAGATTTCTCCATGTTGTTTGCTTCTAACAATGAGTCAAGATTAGATCTCAATTGTGATTTAGACGAGACTCAAAGTGATAGATCCCACACAGATAATGAAAAGAAAGCTTGATGGAGTGATATGAACTACCCAGTCGTATTGCTTAAAACGTTTCGCCCGTATATAGTACAGTATGTATATACTAATGCGGGTAGTAGACACCTCAACTAAGCGCTCCAGAACACCAACACGGTGTCAGATAATTCAGATCTCGACCCCTTCAATTTTTTTTCTTATCAGGGTCTACTTCTCGATGCAACATAGCCCCCACCCCTGCATCTCATCCAGGGGAGCCCTAGCACCGTGGTCAGATGCTTGAAAATGATATCCCATGCAGTTACGCCGCAATACGCTTATGCAGATGATATAACTCCCTGAATAGGAAAAGGCCGCAACAGTAATATTTTAAGTCTTTCCATCTCCTACAATCCGGTTGACGAGTCATTTCTCCTAGCTGCTGAGAAGGGGGAGGGGGGTGTATTTACAGTAGCTCTACCGGAAGGACCGCAGCTCTCGATCGAGCAAGCATCTTTACAGCTGTCCACATCAGCGGTCACTCATACTATTACACAATGGACTAAGGAGACTAGAAATCGTCTCAAGATCTTACGTGAGAGACTGACAGGTCTCTGTTCAAATTACAGGCGCATCAGGGGTTACGATCCTTCCAGCCGCTATCATATGCGATATGGCATGTCATGTAGAGATCTCCTAGTCGTATTGTCCCAAGATCAAATATCACTTGGAAGTTGTTCATCCGATATACCCGGCGGGTTAATCAAGCAGCCCGCTGATCCTCGCCTCTGTAAACCAAAAGGACAGCAGTAAAAGATTATCACGACAAACATATCGTAGTTTCCATTGGATTGAAAGCGCAAGACTTCATAGATATTTAATATTTTTTATTGATATTGATTAGAATAGTATCATATTATAATTAAAATCTTATAATAAAATACGGATTATTACAAAATACAAGTTGTGTTTCTATCTGTCTAATATATACGGGCAGAGGCCTTGGTAACACCGCTTACTAGCCAACTCACCGAGTAGTCTAGGAGAGTTTGACAATTCAGAGAAAAAGTGACATGGCCTAACCAAGAGCGCATCTCTTTGTTTGCAATTCCTCCAAACAAATGCCATACGCAATTAGCAGTTGCTTTCGCAAATGTTACCCCTTGGCTACATGTATTGCTCAGACTCGGCAGAGTCTTCCATTTGCGTCCAAGGTAGACTCATCACCGCCAACGGCAAAGAGACCCCACAGCAAAGAGTCGGGGTCGTACTTGTGCTTGATGCTGAGCAGCTTATCGTAGTTGACACCGTACATCTCCGTCTTCCAGTCGCCCTCGTACCAGGGATCCATCTCGTTCAGGTAGACACCAGTGCCGGGAGTGACAGCCTCGACAGCCGGCTGGACGTCCGAGACGAGCCGGCGCTTGAAGCTAAGGTTCGTGTCGAGAGGCGCCGTAAAGTCCCACTGGTGCAAAACGTTGCAAATGACGGCGAGGTCACGCCAGCCGGGGAAGACGGAGTTGTCGGGGTGAGCAGGCGCGTTAAAGCCTCCCAGCACGTTGCAGCCGACGGAGAAAGCGTTGTCCTGGACGGCAGAACGGTAAACATCCACGAGGCTGGCGACGGCCGTGGTGTTCTCCACGAAGGACACAGGGACGAGGCGGCTAGCCCACACCTCGGTCGTGGGGATGACTCCCCATGGAAGAGGACCCAAGCCTCTGGTTTGGTTGAAGGACTGGACATAAGACGGCTGTTGTGTCGTAGAAAACGTGTAGTTGATGTCGAGGGCCTTGAGGCCGTCAAGGTACGGTGCCAAGGTGTTTTGGAGCTGTGTAACGGTCTGGTCGGGGAAAGTGATGCCCAGGAGGTCAAACGAGCTGTTGGTGATTTGGCTAAGCATCGTCGCGTTCTCTGAGCCAACGGTGCCTTGTTTGAGACCCAAAAATCCGGGAACAGACTGGAACCAGAGATTCACACCCTGCCAAAAAGCTGTCTCATCATTGCCAGCCGACCCAGATCCGGCCAAGGTAAACGACAGAGAACCAGTCGCGACCTTTCCGTCAGGGTAGATCTTGGTTGTCATGCTCAGGACAACACCATAGGTGCCGCCACCGCCGCCACTGATGGCCCAGTACAGGTCGGAATTGCTCGATGGAGTTGCAATAACATGATCACCCTGAGGCGTAACGACCTCCCACTCGAGAACGTTGTCGGCTGCCATGCCGTAGGCACCGCCGAGCAGCGAGTGACCGCCACCCTGAGTGTATCCTCCGACAGGGCCGGTGCTGGCGCACTCGCCCGTGACGACACGGTAGCCATTTGCGCCGACGAACTCATCAGCCTCGCCGGCAATCACGCCTGAACCGAGTTTGATGGCAGGTCCCTTGTATGTCGAGTTGGGGTTGGAGTACGAGCGGATGATGGTCTTCTCCTTGAGGTTGGCCATCCACAGAGAGAGGGCGCCCTTGCCGGTGGACTTGCCCATGAAGTCATGGCCGGTCGTCTTGACCACCAGGCGGACATTGTTTTGGCGCGCAAAGTCGAAGCCGGCAGCGACGTGCTGAGCAGTCGTCACGTTGATAGAGTAGGAGGCATAGTTTCCAAGTTCGCAGGACCTGCTGATTGGAGTGAAGGGGTCGCAGGACTGGTTTTGGAAATAGGCATTGAGGATCTCGGCAGGCTTCGGAACGTAGGTTTCTGCCTGGGTCCAAGTCGACTGCAGCTCGTCACATGCATTTGCATTGAAGCTGTTGCTGGGTAGTGTGTGGCACACATGTGCTTGAGGCACGGTGGCGATTAGCTGGCCTTTGAGCGTCGCATTTAGCTTGGACCAGGCAGAAGCACTGGGCCAGCCTGCGTCACCGGGCAGGTTCTTGCAGTTGCTCGCCGTGTAAGCGTCGGCCGATCCAATTGATGCGGCCAGAGATACAGCAGCGAGAGCTCGTGCTAAGGAAGCCATCTTTGCGATCAAGTTTGATTTTCCCCTGCTTTACTCGAGTCCGTAGCAACGTGGCACAAGCCCGGGTAATAATATACGCATGTATCTCTTCATCAGCTCCTTTTTCCCCTTGCCATCAGATGGCAAGATCGCCTGAGCTGAAAAAGAGGCTGGCGAGAAGTGAGATTCTAAGCTGGCCATGTCAGCTCTGCCCCATCTACAGGAAACATGTAGATTAGCAGCATCATGGGTGTAGAGCGGCGTGTGCAAACTACGGCGCAAAGTTGCCGGCTCACATCAGACGGCCGGCGAAGAGAGTTGTCCCTTTGCTCGTGTATGCAGTTAACGCCCTGTTCTAGAGCTAATAGAATCCAATGCAGGCAGATCAATTCAAACGAAGGAGCCGAGAATCACAATCATCTACGCCAGAGTCTAGATCCACTTGCACGACGGATGTTTTTCAACCCGGAAGACCCCTGTTATGCATTCATTGCTTACGTGGCGCGCACATTTGCCGTCTTTATTCATGCTAATACTTATCTTATGCACGCTGGTGAGATTATGAGCAAGCGGGCTTGCATAAAGCAGGGGAATCCGGAAAAGATCGACGCAAGGAAATCAGTGATGCACACCCATGTCTTGCAAAAGTCTCTCTACAACGTTGTACCTAGTCGTCTAGTATTGATCCGATGCATACGCGTATTAGTCTTAGCGCCCTCCTCGTTTAAAGCAACCCCCTTGATTGGCTGGCCTAACTTACTCTACCCAGCGGGCTGATCGAGTGCCGCTTAGAACTGCCCCTTATACTAGTTGTACTAGTACCTGATACTAGTGCGTGATACCAGGTCCTCCATTGATAAAGAGGCAGGAGACTAGTCGGTCCGTGCCTGCTTACAATAGTCCGCCCGCTGGATAATCGGCAATAGCTATCCAGGCTTCTTGCTAAAACAGCTAGCTTCTATCACTAGAATTCTGACAGCGGCCGCTAGCAATTTAATTCAACTCACTCAGGTTGTTCTTCAGCATCCGTGTTCCTCCTCTGCCAGGCACTTGAAAGCCCGGGGAGAGACCTGCTAATTGCTAATTGAACCTCACTGCACAACTAACAATGCCGTCGCTGTCGCACTTCTTGGGGCACTTTTTCCCCCCCAAGCCCACCTTCACCGAGGCAAGCCTGCCCGCCGACCTCTCCGGCAAGGTGTATATCGTCACAGGTGCCAACAGTGGCATCGGAAAGGACATTGCCCGCATTCTGCATGCTAAGAACGCAAAGGTCTACATCCTATGTCGTTCAGAGGACAAGGCGCGCGAGGCCATCCAGGACATTGAGAAGGCCAACCCAAGCTCAAAGGGCGCTCTGGTCTTCATCGCCTGTGACCTCGCCGACTTGCCAAATACCAAGGCCGCCGCCGAGGCATTTCTGGCCCAAGAGCAGCGCCTAGACGTGCTCTTCAACAATGCAGGCGTCGTAGGTCTACCACCTCTGCGTGCCCACCTCTTCCCTCTTTTGTCGTCCTGACCCCTAACATTCGGCAGATGGTTGGCCCGAGTGAGGCTGGCAAGCCCATTCCCAGAACGGCGCAGGGCTTCGAGCTCTGCTTGGGCGTCAACTGCGTCGCCACTCACCTGCTGACCAAGATGCTCACGCCGACTCTCATCGCCACCGAGGGCCTGACGCGCATCGTCTGGTATAGCTCTTTCGGCATGGAGATGGGCGCGCACAAGGACGTGGGCGTCTCTCTCGATAACCTCGACTACCACAAGCCAGAGAAAGAGACCCAGCGCTACATCCTCAGCAAGACGGGCGCCTGGGCCTTGGGCATCGAGCACAACCGCCACTACAAGGCCCAAGGCGTCGCCAGCGTGCCCATCGACCCCGGCAACGTCATCTCTGGCCTACCACGAGACCAAGCCCTGCAGCTGCGCATCGTAGCCAAGATTGTGTGTTACCCGACCGTGTACGGCGCTTACACGGCTCTCTACGCCGGTTTTTCACCGGACGTCGTTTCCGACCAGGCGGACTGGACCAAGGAGTGGGGTGAGTGTGGAGCTTCTAGAAGAATCCGGGGCCGAGACTCAGCTAACCTTGTTCGACCCGCAGTTGCTCCGTTTGGACGCATGTTTCCTCTCCGGCCCGACTTGACAAACGCCACGTTGTTGGAGAAAGATGGCGGAAACGGGGGCACAGCCAAATTTTGGGATTGGTGCGAGGAGCAGATCAAGGAGTATGTTTAATGGAGCAATGCCAACGGTAGGGGCCAGCCTCATTGGGTTGTGGTGACGTGTTCTGAGCATACAGCCAGCCCACGACACGGCTGAGCTGGTTACAGAATAGTTTACGCCTTTTCATGCCAGATATCGGGATTTCTTCCTCTTTAGGCAACAGTATGAATGATACCAAAACGTATTCTTAGGAGCTCATTAACGGGGGTGAGCCAGCCGTTTTGGATGCCCAAGGCTGTAAACGAGAGTACATCATCCGTAGGCTAAAATACGTGTAAAATGAAGTAGGCTTTCATTATAAGTGAACGTAAAGCAACTCAAACCACCTTCCCTATTAATTATCGTTTTCTCATTTACTCCGTAACTAATCCTTAGTACTCCGTAAAGTAAACCATGTTAAAACGTAAGCCCCCAAAGGACGGAGTAGTCCGGCATTACAATTACCTAGGTATACAAAAGTAGTTCACACCTTCCTCATCAAGTATACTTTTGCCCCCAAGACAGTTTAATGATAGTAATCTTTCGCTATAACGAGTCACACATACGGCAGAAACCTGGTTATAACGATAAAATACCCAAGACAAAAATTGCTCCCATCCACGTCAACAGGGAGTCTGTTTTACATCATCCCGTATTACCTAAAATATAAACTTACAGTCCATATAGGTTAGATACACTAAGGCAAGTCTAAGGTTTCATTTTTTCTATTAATTGCTAAGAAATTGCCTATCAAAAGCGGGCCATTGTAAATAAAACACGAGTGGGACTCATCGTTAGGCCATGACGATGCTCACAGGGGGGGCCGCTGTCTTACATGGCTAGATTCAAGGCCGACTGTAATATAAAAATTTAGTCCGCGGCACGACGATTGTGTTGATGTCCCATAGTATCCGCACACTCTTTCCTCCTTCACCATGACAGCCCAAGCGGTACCAAAGCTTCAGACAGCCATTCTTCAGTCCGGGGATGGGGGCCAGGGGGGGCAGAACCTGACCATCTCCAATACGGTCCCGATCCCTGCCTTTACTTCGCCTCACGACGTCCTTGTACGTGTCCTCGCCGTCGCACTCAACCCGACCGACCACAAGATGCCCTCCCACTTCCCCTCGCCCGGAAACAGGGTTGGCTGCGATTTCTGCGGCGTCATTGTCCAGGCTGGAGATGAGGTCCAGAAGGATAGCCTCATGCAAGTCGGCGCTCGCGTGTGCGGGGGGCTTTTCCCCTACGGCCTCCCCCAAGGGGGTGCTGAGCCAGACTGCGGGGCGTTTGCCCAGTACATTGTTGCCGACAGCCGGCTCCTCGTCCGTGTCCCGGACACGTGGAGCGATCTCCAAGGGGCAGTTCTGGGCGGAATTGGTTGGACGACGGCGGCTCTGGCCATGTCAGACTCTGACGCCCTGGGGCTGCCCGGCTACCCGTCCACCCCCGCTGCCAAGTCTAAGAACGGCAAGCCAGTTCCGGTGATCGTTTACGGCGCCGCCACGGCCACGGGTACCATGGCGTGCCAATTGCTGACCTTGTCTGGATACGCCCCCATCGCCATCGCATCGAAGCAGTCGGCTGAGCTCGCAACTACGTACGGGGCCCACGCAACCGCGGCTTACACATCGCCCACGTGTGACCAAGACGTCAAAGAGGCATTGGCAGATATTGGTATCACCGAGCCGATCCGCCACGCCATTGATTGCATCACTACGCGAGAATCGGCCAAATTGTGTTTCACCGCCCTACATCGCATGGGTGGCCGCTACGCCTGTCTCGAGGGTCTGCCTGCTGAGTGGCGCACCCGGCGCGCCGTACACGTCAAGGAGGTCATGGCCTTTGAGGGTCACGGGCGAGACATGATTGTCAACGACCCCACGTACTCGCGGACCGCCAGCCCGGTCCTGTTTGAGCTGTGCAAGCGCTGGACGGCCGAGGTTCAGGGCCTGGTGGATACGGACCGTCTCAAGAGCCATCCGGTCCGTGAGGTCAAGGGGGAATGGGAGGGTATCATCAATGGCCTGGCGACGCTGCAGAAGGGTGGTGTGAGGGGTGAGAAGCTGGCCATTCAGGTAGCAGCTCTCTAGTAGAGATGGAGCCCGGGAATAGTTTCTTTTGCTGACATGGAATATACCAAACTTTAATTTCCAAAATGGAAACAAATAAATGACGAGATTCTCCGATTCTGTCACGATAAGATGTTTTGCAAAAAGTGGAAATCAAGAAGTGATAGCATACAGATACAGACAACCCGCACATACCCGGCCCAATAAGGCCATTTAGAACGTCGCTGGTGTTCTCCCGATGTACATATGCACATATTCAATTTGCGCTTCCTGATTGGTTACAGATTGCTTTAATAGGTAGTTACATGGGGCAAGTAGCATACAGGAATAAGATGAGAGAATTAGGAAACGATCAACATACCGAAATTAGTGATATGTTACAGATATTCCATAGTCTCTACTGTATCTGGTGCAGTGCTTATCGATCTGATGTTATCGTATTCATTTAGCGGTCCGGTCCCTTTGTCTTTTCGCAATCCTTCTGAGGAACAAGTAAAATCCTGTGGGTTAGGTGTCCTCGCAGTACTGTGCCAAGGTTTATCTCCCCGGAAGCTCCACCTGCAATTATGTAGCAACTGAGAATCTCCGCACGGTAGCTCAAGGATACTGTGCCAAGGTTGATCTACGCGGCGGTCCCCCCCCCCCCTGTGACACTAGGCGTTAGCTTTGCCAGATGAGCTGAGCTAAGAGGTTATACGGAGTATTGCAAGGATACGCTTTGACACGCTTTGACACTGCCAAGGTTGATCTACCCGGTGGCTCCACCAGCCACTAACAGTTGGCATCTCCACCAGCCGTCAGCACGAGGACTCTCTTTCGTGCTGACTGCAGGAGCCAACGGGTGTTGAAGATCCGTAATCTCCGCCGGCGTTTGATCAGGCGGAAATGCATTTAGATCCGCCGTCGTTACGGCCGTGATTCAACCCGTTGATTTTACAGGTTGGATAATTGACAAGTGCCTTTTAGGCATATCAGACCTACATCATAATACTGGGTCGTTATACACTCGGGTGCCTTTTGGCCAACTTGTTGTTTCGATAAGCGACCCGCTGTTCCTATTAGGCAGGCAACTCATTGTTTCAACAGGCAACCATGTTGTTTTAACAATCTCACTTTCTCTCACCGTTTATCTACCCTATAAAAGTAAAAATAAAACGATAGACAGGTTTATTGTATTGCATTATAATGTATTTTACTTATGTATTTATTTTCAGAAGTGATAGTAATGGAAAAGAGTCAGGAATTACAGCCGGTCCCGTGTTATGGCATGCGCACATCTTTGCAATTAGGTCGTAGTCTATGACTGTGTTTACCTCTGCCTTCCTACAGTTTCCTTGAAGTTCCTCCGGAATACAAACATGTAGATAGCAAATGCTTCAAATCTAGGGTATAGAATCCTAGGTATGGCCTGGAAGTTACCAGTGGGTACATGTACACAGCGTCCGTGCTTCGGGGTAACTCTTGAAATATCATATTATCATTTTATGACAAAATGGAGTCCCGTCATAAATCGCACCAATTAGGGAGCAACACTTCGTCCGAAACATAGATGAACAACGCACTATACCGCAACTTCTACAGCAAGTTATAGTGGGACTCTTCTTCCTTCATGTGATCACATTATCGCTTGATGGTTTGACAGCATCGCTAGTCTCAGGAGAGGACATTGCACGATTAGCTTGCGTTTGAATCGCTTAGGTAGAATAAATTCTATTTTTTTTTTGTCTTCTTCCTTCGCTTCTAATCCTTGTTACTTTGTACATGTTTCGGACCATTTCTTCATCATGCACAATCCTTCCTTCGCTTAACATTGAGTAACTCCCTCTATTGGGCACAAAGGAGAAGGATCCTTAGTCCATAGACTATGTAACCTTAATTTGTCTTACAATGTCTCGTGCCATCGGAGCGGCAAATAAACAACTTCCGCGTTACTCGGCGATTCAACTGCCAGGGGCTGGTCTAGCTAGATTAGGACTCGCCAACCGGGGTACAGTTCACTAATACGGACGGCTTGTCCCAGACGAGATATGCTTTTTGACCCTTGAACCAGTCACCGTCAAACGGTGTGGACAATGTGACATCAAAGTTGTAAATCATACGGGCCAGTGTAAGGCGCATCTCAGCCATGGCGAGGCTATTGCAACGGCACGTGTTAGTCAAACAGGCAGGTAAGGTAGGGTTTCGGTGCAGAACAGGAGATAAGGCATCGACAACTTACTTTTTACCCATGCAGCTCCTCGGCCCAACGCTAAAGGGCGGCGACGCATCCAGCTCATCGTTGGCGAAGCGCTCGTCCTCCCCTGGCAGCCACCGCTCAGGGTGAAACCCATAGGCGTCAGCAAAATACCGCGGATCTCGTGTCACGGACCAGGTCCAGGCGGCAACAATGGTGCCTTCAGGAACATAGTGGCCAGAGATCTTTGCACCGCCATTGGGCACCACGCGGGCCAGGCCGGACACGGAAGGTGGATACCACCGCAGGCTCTCGTTAATGCAGGCCATGAGATACGGCAGCTTGTCCAGGGTCGAGGCCATGGTGATGTCTTCATCGCGGCTAAACGTGGACCGGACCTCCTTGGTTAGGCGTGCCATCTTTTCTGGTGCCTGAAGTAGTGCAAATAGCGTGGCGGTAAGGGCCGTTGAAGTCGTCTCCGAGCCGGCCATGATGAGCATGACGGCATTGGATTCAACCCTGTGGTCGTTGATGTTGATTAAGCCATCGATGATGTAGTCGCGGTCGTCGTAGGCACCCTTGCGGTCCATCCGCTCACGTAGCATGTCCTTGGTCCTCTGCGTGTGGGCTGCGACAGATGGAATCAGTCCGCTCATAAAGATATAGGTGAGGATGCTGCGAGTGGTTGCACCGACGTAACCAAACAGGGCACTCATGGCCATCAAGACCCGAACATTGTCAGTTAGCGTCGCCACCCACTCGGCCGATTTGGCGTAGCGGAGACCCCCGAACTCGGCTCCGAAGGAGAGCATGCCCGTGATGTCAAAGGTGAGCCACATGAACCAGTCGCGCATATCTTGCGGCACCTTGCCTCCGCCGCCACGCTCACGCAGCTGATTGATCAACAGGTCGACATGCTGGACGAGGATGCTCTCCTGGTTGCGCAGGGCCGTCTCACTGAAGCCCGCGGCCATGTGGCGGCGCAGAAAAGCATGATGGGCCGGGTCCGTCACATTGGCGAGGTCTTGGACGTGTTCGGGCTTGAAGCCATACATGCCCTTCCACTTGACCATCTTGTGGACGTAGATGTCCTTGAAGGCCTGTGTGTCGGAAAAGGCCAACTCTCCAGGGGCTATGCGTACCACTGATCCGTAGCGCACGTGGAGCTCGCGCACAACAAAGGGCATATCGCCCTTGAGGAAGTGGTAGCACTTGAAGAGCCCGGTTGCACGCCATAGCAACGGGCCGGGATATGAACGGAGCGGGTGAAAGGCAATGTTGTAAATGAAAGTTGAAATCAAGTACGCTACAACCGCCGTAGCCACGGCGGCTGCTATTGATGCGTACTGCATGACTGTTGGGTAGGACTCTGAGTAAACAAGCAGCTTCAGGCAGACTGCTGGTTCTCTAAGTTCTGAAGGGTCACCGTGCTCGATAAGTAGCACCCGACGGGCCGAGGCCCTTCATTCGGTCCCTGTAAGAGATGAACCTCCGGTGACTCTAGCAGCTTCTCGGTCAGGCCAAACATCACGCAATGACTCTCTATCATAAGACGCTTGCACTTAGACAGAGTTGTAATAGAGTTCGGCAAGGGCGGGAGTACAGCGACAAGACGGCTAAGACGGCATCTGTTGAAAATCCCGATGTAACCTAACGCCTTCCAGCTAGGGATGGGATACCATGTCGCGGATGATTTATTGGCGGGGGCTGACTGTGTTGTTTTACGGGGGTGAAGTTGCAAGGACTGGGGATGAAGTTGCAAGGACTGGGGATGAAGTTGCAAGGACTGGGGATGAAGTTGCAAGGACTGGGGATGAAGTTGCAAGGACTGGGGATGAAGTTGCAAGGACTATCTCCAGCTATCTCCGCTTTATTTTCACTGGCATTATCAATATGCACGCCTACGATGCATGTCAGACTCGCTGAGACATACCTACTCTCAATGGGGTTGCATTACACCGGGCGTCGGGACTTGAGCGACAAAACGGGTAAATCGGCTGCCGATTGAGATGCTGATACCGATGTCGATGAAGATGCTGATGAAGAAGAAGATGGTGGTGTTGCTGAAGGTGTGAAGATGCTGATGAAGCTCTGATAAAGCTCTGATAAAGCTACTGATAAAGCTACTGATGCACACCCTCCCAGGATCTAAATCGTTAGTTTGGTAGTATTCTTCTGGATACTTGTTACTTATAGAACAATTATTAGAAAGCAAATCTCTTCCTCTGGAAACGTACTGTAAGAGGAAGTTCCATGTACTTGACAAGGGGAAGAAAAAGCTAAACTCAAAGCGTAAGGAAACACTACGTAATACTATTATAACTAAACATATTATTATATACTAATACAAAATACGAATAGCCATTTCTTTTCTTATTCCAGGGGAACCTTGATACTCTTCATTGCTAGGTATATATTCAAGTAAGTCTACTTAGGTACCTACACGATTAAACCAATTGATAATCAAAGACACAGTGCGCTTGCCAATTTAGTGATTATCTTTAATAAACTCATAATTTAGATGCCGTTAGGGCGTAGTATGTGTTGTAATTACTCGCTGTAGCTAACTAGATCGGGATTAATCTTCGGTACGGGCTGACTGCATCTCCGTTGTTTCTGGAATTAAAGTCTAAGACGGCTGCCTATTCAGCCGATGATGAAGCTTCTGACGAAGTGTTGCAATGCCTTGTTGTGGAGGCTTACTATATCGGCATGATTCTTCGGCAAGGTTATCTCCGTTGTCTCTGGGGGTTAAGTCTATCAAGCTGCTGATGAATCTACTGGACCGACGTCGTATTGCAGATCTTTGTTGGAAACATGAAGTTAATGTTAGTTACTATATGGAGTAATTTGCTCGCTAGGTGTTAACCGCGGAGCTTCTGGGGGTTGAATCTATCAACCCGTTGACGAAGCTACTGATGTCGTATTGCAGATCTTCGCTGCGGATGTTTTCTGCATCAAGGATGATTGTTTGACAAGGGCTGACTGTGTTAGGGGGCCTTTAAGTTGTAAATATCTCTAGTCGTATTACACCGCCAATCTTTGCTATATTCCCGGCCAAGGGGCCTAGGAAAGAGCCGAGACCGCGGATTGGATACGAGCATAACGAGAGCAACTTTTTCAGGGGTTTTGCGTGGTCGTTGTATGCATATTGCGTTGTTGATCACTTGTCAAATCTCGGTTCCTTTTGAAACCCCTTGGCCGTATCGTTATAGTAGAATCGCCATGGTGCGGTCCGATGCAGTCAGACAGGCTAGAATGCAGTCAGACCGGCTGCGACGTAGTTATCGTCAAGCTGGCTTGGACGTACGTACGTATCTATCAAGGGTTAGAGGTTAGTGTTGTCAGACTGAGTTACGATGTACGTAACGTCAAGCTAGTTGAGATAGACTCAAGAGGTTGTCGAGCCGGGCTGCGATATAGTCAGAGACTGTCAAAACGGAAGAGATATAATGTCTGGCAAGGACATGATGAGAAGTTCAGATCAAACTCCAGGAAGCCTTGGAACAAACAAACAAACACAAACCACAATGTCTAAACCCGAGCCCATCGCCATTATCGGTACGGCCTGCCGCTTTGCTGGCCCGGCCACTTCACCTTCTAAGCTCTGGGACCTACTCAAGTCACCACAGAACAATGACTTGCGGCGTCCTGTTGACGACCGCTTCAGCACCAAAGGCTTCCATCATCGTGATGGCACTTATCATGGACACACCAACGCCACACAAGCGTATCTCCTTGATTCGGATCCGGCTTACTTCGACGCCGATTTCTTCAGTGTCAAGCCCGTCGAGGCCCGGGCTCTTGACCCACAGCAGCGGCTGCTCCTTGAAGTAGTCTATGAGTCGCTCGAGGCAGCCGGTCTGCCGATGCGGGACCTCCGTGGCAGTGACACCGGCGTTTTCGTCGGAGCTATGGTGGACGACTATGCCGCCATGCTGTTGAGAGACCTTGATGACACACCTACCTATGCTGCCACCGGTACTGCTCGTAGTATCCTGGCCAACCGTATTTCATACGCCTTCGACTGGCACGGCCCGTCCGTCTCACTTGACACGGCCTGCTCGTCCAGTCTGGTAGCCGTCCATATGGCTGTGCAGACACTGCGAGCTGGAGACAGCCGTGTGGCCCTCGCGTGTGGTAGCAATATCATCCTTGGACCCGAGAACTTCGTTACTGAGAGTAAATTGTCTATGCTTTCCCCTGACGGCCAGAGCCGTATGTGGGATGCTGCCGCCAACGGCTATGCTCGCGGTGATGGTGTAGCTGCCGTGGTGCTCAAGACGCTGAGCGCTGCCCTCGCCGATGGCGACCATATCGAATGTATTATTCGTGAGACTGGCCTGAACCAGGACGGTGCTACCCCTGGTATCACCATGCCCAGCTCGTCCGCCCAGGAGGCTCTGATTCGACAGACTTATGCCAAGGCTGGCCTTGACATTGCAAACAACCCAGAAGATCGCTGCCAGTACTTTGAAGCCCACGGAACTGGCACACCAGCCGGTGACCCCGTCGAGGCCAAGGCCATTCACGATGTCTTCAGCTCTCTCCAGACGCCGGAAACTCCCCTATATACCGGTTCAATAAAGACTGTTTTGGGCCACACTGAGGGTACTGCCGGATTGGCGGCTGTCATTAAGGCATCTCTCGCAATCCAGCACGGCAGCATCCCACCCAACCTTTTGTTTAACAAACTCAGCGACCGAGTTGCCCCCTTTTACAAGAACCTTGAGATCGCGACCGTCGCCAAGCCGTGGCCCAAGTGCTCCGTGAGGCGAGCTAGCTGCAACAGCTTCGGATTTGGTGGTGCCAATGCACACGCCATCTTGGAGTCTTACCAAGAGGAAGCAGACTCAGCAGCATCAGTAGAGGGTACACAATCTCTCTTCACCCCCTTCGTTTTCTCAGCATCGTCTGAGGCTTCTCTCCGAGCAAACCTCGATCAATATCGCGAGTTCCTTGCCACCGAAAACGCCAAAGCCCTCAACATTGGTGATCTCGCCTGGACACTGCGTCAGCGTCGGTCTACCCTCACCTGGCGAGCTTCAGTCACGATCCCATCCCCGCCAACCGTCGAGGCGCTGCTCAGCGCACTTGAGGATGCTCCAACTGTAGTCAAGGCTCTTCCTGTAGCGGCGAACAAAGTCCTGGGAGTCTTCACTGGTCAGGGTGCTCAGTGGCCGCGTATGGGCGCTGGACTTATCCAACAGTCCAAGGCGGCGCGCGATTTCATTCAGGAGCTCGACCAGCATCTCTCCACTCTCGGTAGCGATGCTCCAGATTGGTCTCTCGAGAAAGAGCTGCTTTCCGAGGCTTCTTCCTCTCGTGTTCACGAGGCTGCGTTCTCACAGCCTCTCTGCACGGCAGTCCAGCTGCTGGTCGTCCATCTGCTGCGCAATACCGGCGTCCGCTTCTCTGCCGTTGTAGGTCACAGTTCAGGAGAAATCGCCGCCGCCCACGCCGCGGGTTTCCTCTCCGCCCGTGATGCTATCTGCATCGCATACTACCGTGGTCTTCACCTTGCCCGACTCAATGAAGTTCAAAGCGCTTCTAAGCAACAGGGTGCCATGCTGGCAGTCGGCACATCTCCTGAAGACGCTGCCGAGCTGGTCTCCGATGACATGTTCAAGGGCCGTATCATCGTGGCTGCCGTCAACTCGGCCACCAGTGTTACTATTTCGGGTGACTTGGAGGCCATCAAGGAGCTGGAGGTTATTCTGCAAGACGAGGGCACCTTCAACCGCCGCCTCAAGGTGGACAAGGCATACCACTCACACCACATGCTCCCGTTGTTTGAGCCGTATGTGGCCTCACTCCAGAAATGCGGTATCTCGCCTCTTGCTGGCGAGTCGGACTGCACTTGGTTCTCCAGCGTCCACAGCAAGCCTGTGGCCGTCAACGGCGCCGCCGCTGTGAACCTCAGTGACAAGTACTGGGCCGAGAACCTCGTCCAGCCCGTCCAGTTCTTGCAAGCCCTCACTCTCGCTTCGGAAGCCAAGCTGTGCGATGTCCTCGTCGAAGTCGGCCCTCACGCTGCCCTCAAAGGTCCCACCACTCACACCATTGGAAATGCGCCCCATCATGGATCTCTCGCGCGTGGATCCGGCGATGTCGAGTCTTTGTCCTCCCTTGTGGGTTTCCTCTGGTCGTATTTGCCTCCTGGAACCATCAACATCGACGCTTACGAGCGGGCCATCACCGGCCGGCAAGAGAAACGGTTCAAGCTCGTCAAGAACCTCCCTTCATACAGCTGGAACCACAACACGCGCTTCTGGCACGAGTCTCGAGTCTCTAAGAAGCTGCGGACGAGACCTGAGAATGTCCACCCACTGCTCGGCCACGCAGCACCGCACAGCAGCCCTCACGACATGAGCTGGAATCACCGCATCCGAGTCTCTGAGCTGGATTGGCTGGAGGGACATCGTGTCCAGGACCAAATCATTCTTCCAGCTGCAGGCTATGTGTGCACAGCCATTGAAGCAGCCCGCCAGGCCGCTGGTGAAGCATCGATCCGACTCATCGATGTATATGACTTCGTCATCCACCAGGCTGTCGCTTTCGATCAAGAGGATGACGCACGCGGTGGCATCGAAATCCTCGTCAGTCTCTCCGATATTGAGCGAACCAAAGATCACATCCGAGCAAGATTCGTCTACTCGATTGCTCGACCGCAGCGCGACGACAACCTCCAACTGGCCGCGAGCGCCACTGTCGACGTTCTGCTTGGAGAGCCGGACAAGGCCCTGCTCCCTGCGAAGAAAAACCCCTTGTCTCACGCCATCGAGGTTGATCCCGAACCTTTCTATTCCGCGCTGCTGGACCTTGGATATGGCTTCTCAGGCCGTTTCCAGTCGCTATCAGAACTGCGCAGGAAGAACCGTCGCTCGGGCTGCCAAATGCGTCGGGAGCGTCAAGAGGACGAGGCCGGCCTACTGATCCATCCTATTGAGCTCGACGCCGCGCTGCAGTCAGTCATGCTGGCACACAGCTACCCATACGATCAGGAGCTGACTATCATGCATCTGCCCACCACAATTAGACATGTTAGACTCAACCCGGCCTGCTGGGGAGCTGATGGCGGTAACGTGTTCCCCATTGAATCACAACTCACCAAGGCCAACGCATCGGGAATCACTGGCCAGAGTGCGATCTACAGCGCCTCAACCCCTTCTCATGCTGCCGTTCAGCTTCAAGATGCGACATTCCTTCCTCTCGGTGCTGCTCGTATTGAGGAACGCAAAGTCTTCTCCAAGGTAGACTGGATCCCCTCCCTTCCCGATGGTATCGCAGCCGCCACCCTAGCCACCGAGTCCGACTCGCGTTTCATCAGGCTCCTCGAGCGTATCTCCATCTACTACCTCAGGCAGTTCGACCGCGATGTCAGTGCCGATTCCCCCAAGCGCCGTGAGGCTCCGGAGAGTTGGTACTTGAACTTTGCGAAGCACGTCGTCAGCGTCGTCGACGCTGGACAGCACAAATGGGCCGAGGACAGCTGGAAGAATGACACCCGAGCCGACCTCGACGCCGCGGCCAAAGAGGCAGGGCTTGAGGACACGCCTGATGTGCAAATCATGCACCTCGTGGGAACGCAGATGCCGCGCGTGTTTGCCGGAGAGACAACAATGATCGAGCAGTTCCGTGCCGATGGCTCCGATATCCTGGACCGCTACTACGCCGGCGGTTTCGGTTTCCGTGAGACAGCCGATTGGGTTGGCCAGGCAGTCAAGCAGCTTGTCGATCGCTACCCTCACTTGAATATGCTCGAGATCGGAGCAGGTACAGGTTCGGCCACGAAGGCAGTGTTTGGCAGGATCAACAAGTCCTTCAAGTCGTACACTTACACCGATCTGTCGCCATCCTTCTTCGAAAGGGCCGGAAACACCTTCAGCACCCAGAAGGACCGCATGATCTTCAAGACGCTCGACATTGGACGTGATCCCGCCGCTCAAGGCTTCGCCACAGGCACTTACGACCTCGTCGTCGCTTACCTCGTCCTTCACGCCACGCCTGATCTCGAGGTCTGCATTGCCAACGCACGCAAACTCCTCCGTCCTGGTGGTTTCCTGGTCGTGGGTGAGGGTCTGGACGCATGGGATGGTATTGCCAGTGGTGGCTTCATCTTTGGCCCCTTGGACGGATGGTGGCTCGGCGCCGGTACGCATGAGAACCGCACTCTGTCGCCGCACGTCACGGCCGCTGAGTGGGATCGCATTCTGCGCAAGACGGGCTTCTCTGGCATTGACGCACGCACACCCGTCGAATTCGAGGGCATCTTCAGTAAGGTCGGCTTTGTCGCGCAGGCTGTCGACGACACAGTCCGCTTCCTCCGACAGCCCATCGAGGCCCCTCGACAGCAAGATGTCGTGGACAAGTTGGTTCTCGTCGGTGGTAAGACTCCACGCACTGAGAAGCTCATCAAAGGCCTCAGCGACATTTTCACCTCGCGCAAGCTCGCACGCCAAGTGCACCACTTTACCTCCTTGCAAACCGTTGATCACAGCATCGCAGATGCTTCTTCCACGGTTCTCAGTCTAAGTGAGCTCGATATGCCCGTCTTCGAGGACATCACCCTTCGCAACGACACCGAGGCTTTCGAGGGAGTGCGGCGCATGTTCGGCGCGGGCAAGACGCTCCTTTGGGTCACAAACGGAAGAGTTGAATCAACCCCCTTTTCGAACATGACAGTCGGCTTCGGGCGTGTGGCGGAGAACGAGACGCCTGACCTGTTCTTGCAGCAGCTAGACGTAATTGATCCCGACAGCGTCCAGCCTGAGGTCCTAGCCGAGGCGCTGTTGCGTTTGCATCACTTTGCAGCTGAGAAGAACAGTGGCAGAGACACTGGCGGCACCGTTTGGAGCTCCGAGCCCGAGGTCATCATCGAGCAGAATGGCCGTCAGCTTCTCGCGAGAATCAGGCCCATTTCCGAGGTCAATGACAGATACATGTCAGCGCGTCGGACTATTACACGCCCAAGAGATCTTAGCAAGCAGTCTACGGCTGTTGTGCTGGAGTCCACGGCTTCTGCTGGTCAGGAGACTGGGCCTACTGTTGCCCTTCGGGAGTTCCCAGGCCAGAACCCCTTCATCGAGAGCCTCAGCGACGCAGGAACAGCCGTTTCAGAAACCTCCATCGAGCTACAGACCGTCCTTTCCACGTCGTCTGCTATCCGATGCGGTGCGCTGGGCTACATGTTCGTGGTGCTCGGAGCACAAGCCGATGGGAAGCGATACCTCGTTCTCAGCAGCTCTCTCGCTCCTCGTCTGAGAGTGCCTGTCTCGTCGGCAGCGGCTGTTCCTGACAATGGAGATGATCACACTACGCTGGCAGCTCTCTCGGCGCATCTGATTGCCACGGAAATTCTCCGCCCCCTGACGGGACTCAAGGCAGTTCTGGTCGCTCACAACCCGCCACCTCTTGTGTCAGTAGCACTTCGCATCCAGTCCGAGATTCAGGGCATACAGGTCGTGTTCACAACGGATTCTGCTGACGGTGACAATTCTTGGATCCGCTTGCCTCCATTTGCAACACAATCTGATATGGGCGAATTGCTGCAGCAACTCCCTGCCATTCCGTCTGCCTTTGTTGGCTTCTCCAGCCAAGATGGCCTTGACGGCGAGGCGACCTTGGTCAGCGCCCTGCAGAGCCAGAACCGCTCCCTAGTAATTTTGAGCACTGATGCTCTGAGCTCGAGTGTTGGCACAGCGAACCGGGCTGTCTCTCCTGCTGCCCTGGGAACTCTGCTGAGCAAGGCACTCGCCGATGTAAAGGCCTCAGCTCAGACTGGCTACCCTGCCCCGATTACCGAGCGTCTTGAAGACCTCGTCGAGGGAACCGCTCGTCTTCAGGAAGGTCCTGAGTCGTTGAGCCTGATCGACTGGACAGTTAGCTCCGCCCTTCCTGTACGCATCAGCCGACTCGATGCTAAGCCCATGTTCAAGGCTGATAAGACCTACTGGGTTGTCGGTATGTCCCGTGCCTTGGGTCTCGCTCTCGCCGACTGGATGATCGATGCGGGTGTCAAGACACTGGTCATGACAAGTCGAACGCCCGATATCTCTGCAGACTGGCTGGCGATGCATGAGCGCAAAGGCGTCAAGGTCGTTGTCCTTCCTTGCGACGTGACTGATGAAGCGGCTCTGCACAAAGCTCACGCTCAGATCGTCAGCACCCTCCCAGAAATCGTCGGTGTTATCCACGGTGCCATGGTCCTCCGAGACACATCAATCCTCAAGATGACATTTGACCAGCTGATCGACGTACTCCGTCCCAAGATCATTGGTGGTCTCAACTTGGACCGTCTGTTTGCCACGACGAACCTCGATTTCTTTGTTCTTGTGTCATCCATTAACTGTGTCATCGGCAACCACGGCCAAGCCAACTACGCTGCTGCTAATACATTCTTGTGCGGACTTGCCGGAGCGAGACGGAAGCGCGGACTCCGCGCTGCAACGGTCAACGGTGGTGCCATTCTCGGTGCGGGTTACATGCAGCGAGAGTTGGCTCGTGGTGAGCTCGATGCCATCGTCCGCCGATACCGCATGATGCGCATGTCGGACGGTGATTGGTGCCAGTCCATCTGCGAGGGTATCGATGCATGCCGTCTGGAGAGCCCTGTTGGACCCGAGCTGACCACGTCCATTGCTGACGTTGATTTCGACGAGGCGGGTGCCCTTGACGCGCCACTATGGTGCAAGAACCCCAAGTTTAGTGCGTTTGTCGTCGTCAACGATGGTCGTGATGACCAGGCAGACGTTGGTAATGTTGCTACCGCGAGCGTTGGGGAGCGGCTGCGACAGTGCCAGTCGCTAGACGACGCGAGAGAAGTCGTTAAGGAGGCTTTCGCCGCCCAAGTGCGTACCGCCTTGGGCCTGGACGCTTCCACGACGGACCAAGAACTCATGGCTTCACGTTCAACCGACCTCGGCATCGACTCCTTGGTCTCTGTGGACCTTCACTCGTGGTTCCTGCGCAACCTCCAGGTCAACGTACCAACCCTGAGTATCATGGGAAGCGGTAGCCTGGCAGATCTCGTCCAGCATGCTGTAGAGAATCTGCCCACGGAGCTGCTGGCCGCTTCCGACGATAGCAGCGCGCAGAGCTCTGGAGGCTCTACTCCTTCCCGAACTTCGGGCAGCGCCACCTCGGTCTCTGATGAGGGCGACAAGAAAGCCAAGCCGGCAGAGATCTCGGTCGACTGGGAGGCAGAGACCAAGGTACCAGCTGACATGCTTGGAGAGCTCGTCGACTCTCGCGTTGGTGGAAAGCCCACGGCAACTGGAGTTGTGATCCTGACGGGTTGCACCGGTCTTCTCGGCCGACACTTGCTCAGACACCTCTTGGCCCATCCTTCTGTCACTCAAGTTCACTGTCTGGCGGTGCGTAACCTCGACCAGCGGCTCGCAAAGGGCTCTCTGCCGTCAAACCCGCGCGCTGTTTACCACGCTGGTGACCTTGGCAAGCCATTCTTTGGCCTCTCAGAGTCGACGGCGCAGTCCGTTTTCGATTCAGCCTTTGCTGTCATCCACTGTGGTGCAGATACCTCGCATGTTAAGCACTTCATGGACGTCCGGGCGTCAAACCTGGGCTCGACTATGCAGATCGCGCGCGAGTGTCTGAGGCGCCACATTCCGATGTACTACGTGTCGTCGGCTGGTCTGGGTATGCTGCACAAGAACAGCAAGGAGGATGGTTTCCCTGCGGCGCACATTGATATTCCAGAGGCAATGATCCCCGATGGAACTGAAGGTTACATGTGCAGCAAGTGGGCGAGCGAGAAGTTCCTCGAGCAGGCGTGTGCGCTGACCAATCTGCGCGTCGAGATCCATCGCCCTTCGACCATTGTGCGTGAGGGAAGCGATGCTGTCGGCGATGAGGCAGAGAAGGACTGGGTCAACGCCTTTATCAAATATGCTAGAATACTGGGGGCGGCACCCGAGTCTCGACGCAATAGGGGATTCATGGACCTCGTGCTCGTCGATACAGTGTGCAACGGCATCATTGGGCGCATGTTCGACGACAGTCAGTCTGCCGTGGTTGTCGAGCGCAACGACGTGACTTACTTCAACGAGGTGGGAGATGAAGTGCTTGCACTCGACGGTCTGAAGACTATTGGTCAAAATGGACAACCCGACGGCGAGGCCCTCAAGGTGCTGCCCAGAGAGGAATGGACGAAGCGTGCTGTGGCCGCCGGTCTGCATCCTGGTGTCGGTGTGCTCATCGAGACTATGGATGAGGCTGGTGTGAACTACCCGAGATTGTGGAGGGGCATGAGCGGTCGTCGAGTTTGATAGAATGTCTGATAGAATAGATTTGACATTGGGGATGTTTAGAAAATGAAAGTAGGGACGGGATTATCATGCTTACCTGCACGCTTACCGGGATATTACTACATCAGGCCATAAGCCGAGTGGTATCGACTGATATTGGTTATGTTTAGTCTTGTGCAAAAAGCATTTTTATGAAAATAGTTATGAATCTCGTTGCGATAGCTCTTTTGGTATTGATTTTATATAAAAAAAAGTGTTTGTTTTAACTTGTGGTTTCTTAAAGGAACTGAACATCGTATGAAGATTTAGTTCCAAGTGACACCGGTACGTTGCTCCGGATTAAGAGAAAGACCGGCACCAATCAACAAGCACTTAGTATAAAAGCAACACACATTCACAATCACTCTTACATAAAAAGGAAACAGACAGCGACCGTCACTCTTCATCGATCCAGGAATTATAACCCGGTATACAAACTTCACTTCTGACGTTCTTTTAAAATACTTAGACAAGCCGTTGTGAATGTAATTTTCTGATTGGATCCTGGCTCTTGATACTCTCCACAAATACGTGTACTAAGTTGCCCAAACATCCAGCCTAGTCCATCCGTCAACATAGAACCTTGAAGCTAGAATCACGGCGTGTCCTTTGGCAACTGTTCCTATTAGTCTCCTAACATACCTAGTATAGATGTCTGATTCACAACATGATTCATGTACAAAGTTTTTGCCATCAAGGCTCTCTATTTCTTGTTAGATATCGCTACCTTTTTTCCCCGATAGTCGCTTACTCTTTTACCCGACAGGGCAATTAGGTAATATTCTCAGCCACGACCCCGAATTATCTCGGGAGTGCTATCCCCACTTATTTTTCTTCCTCATAGATTCGGCTTTCGGTATCCGCATTCAAGATCCAAAACCCCCGAACAAATCGCGATATCTCTGTGTCACTGCACTACAGAGCTGAATGATTTGCCAAGAAAAAAAGGAGAGCTACTTTTTCGCCACTGTGCCCGGCAGTTGTAACTATAGCTTTAGCTATTCGTGGGTAGCTTGTAACTCGCTTCCACTAAGCAAAACCTACTATGTCAGAAGTAGAGTCACAACAACTTACTATCAGCTCTATATGTTTCCAAGTCATCTCTTAATTGATCAATATGCTGGTTTTTTCATCGTTTTTTCCTCTTTAGGAATCGTATTTGCTTCTTTTGTGACGTCAGGACGCAGTAATTGCGTCGAACCTTAATGCCATTAGTTGCTTGACCCCATGCAGGCATCTTGTTGATCGCTCTCCTCTTCGAATATATATAAATTGGGCATATCCTGATGAGAATCCTCCATCAATTCCTTAACTCAACAACAACTGTTAGTTTGTCTACATCCTCAACTCAATCATGGCCGCACAGAAAGAAAGAGTCGTTGTTATTGGAAGTGGCTGGGCTGGCTATAGCCTGGGCTACGGTATCGATCACAGAAAGTACGATGTCACTTTGATTTCGCCAGAAAATACTTCTGCAGTTACTCCACTGTTAGCCAGTGCTGCTTGCGGACTGTTTGACCCTCGATTGGCACATGAGCCCCTTCGGCGCAGGGATTTCCATGCAAAATACATCAAGGCTACGGTTGTCGACATCGATTTTGACTCTCAAACCCTCATTTGTCAACTAGCATTCGAAGAGCTCAAGGATGAGCGTTTCAATGTCGAATACGACAAAGTTATTCTTGTACCAGGATGCCGCAGCAACACTTTCGGCATCCCTGGCGTGGCGGAGAACGCCATCTTTGTCAAGAATGTTGCCAACGCGAATGCAGTTCGCAGCCGATTGAACGACATTCTTGAAATGGCCTCACTCCCAGGAACATCAGAAGACCGTCAGAGGCAACTTCTGCATGTGGCTATTGTCGGCGGCGGTCCTACTGGTATCGAGGTCGCGGCTGAGCTAACGGATTTGTTTGACGGAGACGTTGGAGTCCTGTTTCCCCACTTGAAGGGCAAGGCGTCTGTCTCTGTGTACGACGTGGCTCCTCAGATTCTGGCACCATTCGATCAAAAATTGGCAGAATATGCTTGCACCGCCCTGAAAACTGGCAAAGTTAACGTTAAGACGAACACGCACATCCTCAAAGTGACCCCGAATACGATTGAAACTCAAGAGGACGGAGCTACCGGCTATGGTATGCTCATCTGGGCCACGGGAAACAAGTCTGTTCCTCTAATCGATCAATTGAACCTTCGTAAGACGGATAAAGGATTGGTCCGGATCTTGACAGATGACCATCTCAATACTTTCGCACCAGATGGCACCGTCCTGCCGAATGTCTTCGCATTGGGAGATGCGGGAGATATTGAAGGCGGGACTCTCCCAACAACCGCTGAAGTTGCGATTCAAAAAGCAGATTATATCATCAACCTGCTCAACAAGAATGTCAAAACACCGTTCGAGTACAAACAGCGCTCTCTTGTGACATACACAGGAAAATGGGACGGTGTAGTCCAAGGGAAACGCGAATATACGGGCTATGGAGCATGGCTGAGTTGGAGATCTGGCAACTTTTTCTGGACACGGTCATGGCGAAGGAAGATCTTGATGGGCTATGCATGGTTTATGGATTGGTTGGATGGAAGAGAGATTATTCGCAATTAGCACCTGGTACCAGTCTTGTAATGGCGCAGATCTGCAGATCGTTGGTGGTTGCCCGAAGGTTTCAAGATCAGGTGGCTGGACATGACGGCATTCCCAGCTACCAACTGGCTTGGCCTATCAATCATATAGCCTATAGCGAAAATATTAGTTTGGCGTTGAAAAGCAATGCCTTCCATAATGCCTGAGCCTGAGATATAGGCTACCATGAAATAATCCTGTTAGTTTTACCTATTGATAGGAAGGTTTTGCAATCGAATGGGTAAAAATATTCGTACTCATTGCGTAGCTCAGGTTCAAAGCCGCATACGATAGAGTCATTGAGAGTAGAAATAATCTTGTAGCAAAAGATAGAAGAGCCAAGAGCACAGTGTTTGCAAAACTTTGGTGAGCAATAGATAACGAGGACTGGTCACGATTGTCGATATGGCCGCCTTTTGATTCGAAGCCGTTCAAGATACAGCTGATGAGAGCTCAGATTCAGGTCTCCATATATGATAGCGGGCAAGTTAGTTTGTGGCGTCTCCAGTGCCGTGGCTAAAAGACGTAGGTACATAGGCTAAAGCTCACTTAAACGCGTTTTGAGATACCGGGGGGCTGACGGGGAAGAGCCGGGATTTGGGGAAATGCGGAGTTCCCAGACACAAAGCCTAACAAGTGGAGATACTTCCCCACGGGGCATTACCAGCTCTTCACGGTTTCCTATATATGTCTTGCTGCATCCAATGCCTGTCTACGTTATTCAAGTGTTGATAGATTCTGTAGACTGGCGAGTATGCGGAGATCTTCGCAGCACATGGTAGACGAACAAGCTGGTAAAGCCAAGATGATAGAGCCACGAATTGCTGGTTATCATCATACCGATACTCTTGAAGGCATTGTAAATACTAAAAGATGTTTAGTAAACCATATTGGTCCAGCGTGTTATACAGGGCTAAGGTAGCTGATGATGCTGTAAAGAAGGCTGTTTACAACCGTGCATCCATCCCCGGGTCTTTTTGCTCTTCTGTATCCTGACTGGAGCCGCTGATGAATAGCTTGGATGTCAACGCCCTTGAAGTTTTGTTGCTCAATGATTCTATATGCGGCAACGCAATCTGTTGTCGATTCGCCAGGCTGCGGCGGTGGAAGACTCTGACAGTCATACTGGGCTACAAAAGTTACAGCGAGCGTCAAGTCGTTCTTCTCCATATCGTCCCCAATGTTTATCCCTGGATGAGCGCTGATGTTATCTATTAACATGGAGTTTGGAACAACTGGCATGTCAAATGGTAGGTCGACCACGGTATTCTGTTTGCAGGATGACGAATTGCTCAGTAGTCTCTGGCTGTTCCAAGAACAGCGGCAAGGAGCCTCCGATACGGTAGAAGGCATGAGAGAGTTAAAAGGATGCTGCATGTGCGAATCACTCGCGAGAGCGGGCGCTCTGCTTGCCTCTTTTAATAGCCGTTCCACTTCAGCCGTAAGTGCCGTGATGCGATGCTCGGCGGCAATCAACTGCCTCTGTGACTCTGCCAGTTCGGCTTCAAGAGTAGATATATGAGATTTGACTTTGGCACGATGTCTCCGCTGGTTGTTCCGAATTCGAGTCGCCTTTTGTTTCGGAGATTTGGATGACCACTTGGATATCATGTTTGAAGGCGGAGAACCAGGCATTGTAGATACTTCTTCGACCTTTGAACGGCCAAGCAAGTCAATTATTTGACGCAATATTGTTTAATGCTCGTTTAGGTGAAAATCGACCATGCAGAAAGACGGAGAATTTAGAACGAGCGTTTGTTTCTTCCATCTAGGGCATTAAAGAGACCTAAGAGGTGAGGGGTGCGATGACATACCAATTTCTTACTATTTCGAGAATAGCGCAGGCATTCATTGTCTACAGCGCCACGACACTGAGGCCCCAAATGCCCAGAAAAGTTCTCGATTAGGCAAGAAATGAGTGACTCTTCATACGGTCCCCGCAAGGCCTGTGTAAGTCATCTTTCAAGGCTTTCCAAGGCGAGTAGGTGAATAGAAATTGTTGAGTTCAGGTATAAGAAGGCCGTGGCTGTCTTCAAAGCGGCTGTCCTTCAAAGCCGTCGCGAAACTACGCTAACTGGCATCTCAGCCCATCAGCAATGAATGTTCAAGACATTTACGCCGAAGTTGGCAAGCGATACTCTGCCGCTGCAGGAGGAGTAGAAGCTCGATATGCGGATTCTGTGGCGAAAGCGTTTGGGTATACAAAGGAAGAATTGTCAGATATTCCTCAGGATGCCAACTTGGGCCTCTCTTGTGGCAATCCTCTCGCGATCGCGACCCTGCGTGAAGTGCGTAATTGACGAGGCAAGAATCTGTTTTTTAATATTATCGCTTATGAATAATACAGGGAGAAACCGTGATTGATCTTGGAAGCGGTGCTGGTTTTGATGTCTTCCTCGCCGCGCGAAAAGTAGGGGAAAGCGGCAGGGTTATTGGCGTGGACATGAACGAGGTCAGTTCAAGATCCCACAATCATAAGCTACCTATTTAACATATGATTTCTTTTTTACATAGGATATGCTTAAAAAGGCAGAGGCACTAAAAGCTTCATGGGGCCAGAAAAATGTCGAGTTCGTACAGTCGCAAATCACGCGCATTGCTCTTGAAGACGGCATCGCGGATTGCATCATCTCCAATTGCGTCGTCAATCTTGTCCCCGAAGAGGAGAAGCAGCTCGCCTTTAATGAGATGTTCCGTCTCTTGAAACCGGGCGGGCGGGTTGCCATTTCAGATATCCTTGCCAAGGGCCCACTGCCAGATGCTATCAAGAAGAGCATGGCTTTGTATGTCGGCTGCATTGCCGGAGCAAGCGAGGTCGGAATGTACCAAAAGTATCTGAAAGAAGCCGGCTTCAATGGTCTGTGAAACGAGGTTTTTAGATGCGACTATTTATTGCTAACTAGGTAATCTGTCTAGGCATCGTCATACAGGATTCAGGAAACGACTTGAAAGTCTATCATGATGAGGGTCTCACCACTTGCAGCTCTGATCCTGCGGAACAGGACAAAGGTTGCAGGGTGACAAAAGGTGACGCGGTCAACGTTCAAGACATTGACTTCAACGAATGGACTGGTAAGTTGAACCCTCTCATTTGTGTTATCTCCATGAATTAAAAAAAATTCCGTAGCTTCGTACAAGATATTCGCCGTCAAAGATTGACGGCTATCAAACATTCATAGTAGAGATCGCACCTCAGGCTGCAAAGGGACCATTGTGAGAAATGCATAATTCGGCTGATCCTTGATTACCAATGATGTAGATATGTACGCGTTTATAAATTTCTCTATGAAATCACACGCTGAATTCGTATCAGCTATTTTTTCGCCTAGCGAATATTCTTATCCGGCGAGCGCAATCTAGTTCCCATAAGACTCGGCGTTGAATGACTCTTGTGTATCCTAACAGAGTCTATACTTGCAGTGCCTCTTTTTGCCTTCTTTCTTCGCGCTCACTATATCGATCTCCAAATAACTCAAAATGGGGACGCATGACTATTGTGTATTTTACCAGCTCCTCCATGCAATCCACAAGACGATCGCGATTTGAGCTGGGAATCATGCGACTACCCTCTGCCTCAGACGTAAACTGGGTATAGGCTTTTGGAACAGAGCTCTGGTTCGGTATGGTAAACATGCGCATCCAGCGCCCCAGAATCCGTAACGAATTGACAGCGTTGAACGACTGTGAGCCACCACTGACCTGCGCAATAGCCAGGGTCCTGCCCTGAGTAGGCCGTACGGAGCCAGACGACAACGGGATCCAGTCTATCTGTTGCTTGAACAAACCTGTCTTCTAGGATTTAGAACCTGCTGCACCACCAATCCTATGCATTGTATTAACTCACCAGGTTTCCGTGCTGTTCCGGACTGACCCAAAGGTGCCCATCGCTCCATTTACTCAGCTCCCGCAGCTCTTGAACTTTTGGGTGTTCGTGCTGCACATCATCTTTTTGGGGTAGGCCAGATGGATCATACACGCGGACATCACATCCAAGACGAAACAGAATACGTGATGCTTCATAGGCCAAAAGGCGGGAAAACGATCTGTGTCGCAGTGTCAGCAAAATCTTGAAACAAAATTCGCTACTGCACTCACCTGTTTCTCAAACTTCCGTATAAAACGAGGATTCGGAGGCGATCTTGCTTTTTGTCGAGAATTTCGGACTCAACCATTTTCAAGGTCGTGGCCAATTCCAAATTCGCAATCCAGTCGTCCTCTGTAGTCGTAGGTAATAAGAACGGCCGGTAGTGTTCTCGAATAGAGGCTTCATCTTCGTGGGCATCGATAGCCAGCGACTTATTGCTATACTTTGGGTCAACTTCTAGCATAGTAGTCGCCCTGGCAGCGTGTGTATTGTTCAAGTCTCCGTGTCCGTTCATGATAAGACGAATTCGCGATAGAGAGCGCCTTCTTGGCTCTGGATAAATATTTCCAAGCCTCAAGCAAGGTCGTATGTGATGGTGTAACAGTGTCAAATTTCGGCTCTGGCGGGCGATAGAACCACAGAGCAAGTTGGTGCGGTTCATTACTTGGGCTCTGAGGTAGAACTGACTTCGCTGTGGCCAAAAGCACCGTCGTATCCCGTATTCTTATATACTCGAGCCAACGCAAGTATTAGGCGCTAATAATAAGGGTCTCTCCGCTAATTGTCAGGCTTACTGGGGCCTTGTTTATGGTTCTGATGCTCCACCCAATTCAATGTCTGATTCCAGCCCAAGAAACAGCCTCTTGCAGTGTATTAGTGGCCGGTAACGTACAATGTTCATTATCTCTGTTAAATAACTTAACAAGTGTTTCCTTCTTGGCGACAAAAGGTCAGTGGCTTAAGCAACCCTACTGACTCTCCCAGTAAGTGTGGTCATAGCCATCAATACATTCTACGTATTCAGCGCCTCCTTTCGCCCATCCCTTAACTCCTTCCAGGAGAATAAGGCTCTGAGTATTCGTATCTCTTCTCTCTTCTAAATAATCACCAAACCAGCAAGCAGCACGGGTGCCCCGGCCACGAGAAGATGCTATCCATTTTGAGTCATTAGCCCGGCCATCACCCCACAGCCAAGGAAAAACCTACAGCAGTACCATATGACCCTCCGAATTCCGGCAGCTTTGACCATATTGTAGACTGTTGGCAGAGCTGGGTATAAACTTTGTGCGGGAAGATTGATGGAGCCCCGGATAGTGCCACCCTGAATTCAGGCTCTTGTCAGTATAGAACAGCGAATTTCGAGCTTTTTGAGGCTGTAACATACTTGATGGTCAGTTCTCCTTAGATCAACCAGTAAGTAGTCTTTTCCAGCCACGCTTTCATCTTCTTTCATCATCTTGAGAACTTCTCCCCGCGTCATTGTCTCGGGCTCTTGTCTCTTCGGTGAGGGAAAAGCTAGGTGCCATGGCACCTCAGCTGCATTCATCGAAGTCATTATCTCTTGGTAAAATAACTGCTTGTTAGAAATGGTCCTAAAGTCAGAAATCTTCAACAAAAGGGCGTCATTTAGTTGCGGGGAAAACAGCTTTTAGAAAGTCTCATTGCAGCAAGTCATAAATATTACATCCATTGAGACATCTTGTTCCTAGAGATGGTCGGGCATCCAATGACAGCTAGGGGGTGTGACAACCCCATCTAGAACGCCTTGGCATAACAAAAACTAAGGGAAAAAAAAATAAGCGATAAAATATTCCGAGAGTCATTCTCATCACTAATGTGACCAGAGAAAGATACCACTTCTCTCCAAGAGGCAGATTTCCATTCAGTGGGCTGTAGGGAGTGTGTCAGGCCCCGCGTGGGATTGGCTGACATTCCCTAGTGTCAAATGTCGTAGCTACATGTCAGGTAGTTTCCCTTTTTAGTAACAAGGATGGATCTGATAATATGGGAATCAGAATTAGTTAGCTAAAAATATGGGAGCGCCCGAATGACCGCGGGCTGCTCTGAATGTGGCCAGACTCATTTCGACAGGAAAAGTATCTTGACATTCATTTAGCTCGAACGTGTATTAGTTCTTGACCATACTCTCTAGATAATCTCGTAGATTTGTCGTCTGTATTCCCAGCTGTGTATTCGCAAGGGCATCCTGAGACACTGAGATGTCTTTCTGACCTTGAAAGAGAGCACCTCTAACAATATTTTCGATGCCTTCCTTTGGATTGCCGCCCGCAAGCAACTTCCAGCCTTCTTGGCGAAGATTCTCGGCATTGACATAAGATACACTCCATTTTGACTGAGTAATGTCCTCCAACGCTGCAAGGATCTCTGATTGCGAAACAGTGAAGCTCCTTATCAGCAGATATTTGTTGGCACTGTCCGCAGGCCCTTGCAAAACGGACACCACGCTTCGCGTCACAGCAGGAATTGTGATAGAGTCGAAACGAGCTTCACCAGTGTCAAATATAGTGGCTGTTCTATCCGACATCGAAAAACCCCAGACCCCGGAGGGAATACCCTAATTATCGTCTACGTTAGTTGCGGCACAGCGACATCGGGTACCATATCTGTTACACACCATATCAATCAATGCGCCTCCAGAGAGGCACGTCCAACTAAATTGTGGATGCAATCGAGCCTTTTCCTGAAGGTAAGCAATTAATTCGGTCTTCGGTGCCATGAGCTTCTTGAAGTCTTCAAGTGGCTGATCAATGCTGCTAGAGCCATATTCACTGGGGATAAATCGCCTGACCCCGGCCTGGATTGCCGCATCGACCATGACTTTCTGAGCTGCGATAGGCGGCCCAGCAGCCACGGCACTCACCACTGCCTCCTGACCCGTGAAGATCTTAACAAGGGACTCGTACGTATAGTCGCTAGTTACGAAACTCGCACCATTGACTTCCTTTGGATTCGAGCCTAGGCTCCGTGTCACGACTGTAACGTTAAAGCCTGCGTCTATCAAGGCTTTAACAATCGGTCGACCAACTTGGCCAGTTCCCTACACGCCAGTAGTTCTTAGTAAGCCGTTCACTCACAACTGTGACAATAGAAGGGCACGTCTTACGCCGAGAACTGCGATATTGCGAAAACTTGCCATTCTTATGCAGCTACGAGCAGAAACCTTACACGGTTGTAATGACTGTTGTGTTGTCGAGTGAAGGTGCATTGTCTTTGAGAACTCTACATTCAATTCACTAAATATGCCCATTATTTATACATGGGCTCCTCCCCATATGCAATCGGCAACTGCAATAAACGATTAATCAACAGTTAACGCGTATAGTATGAGTTACGTAGGCCAGAAGGATCATGTAATGACGCAAGCCTACAGTCTTTGGAATCTTAAAGATCTTTGGAATCTTGACGACTACAAAGAGTGTGTCTTGCCTGGTTGTCGACATGGGAAAGGAGCCCCGTGCCATACATTCAAGCATAGTCTGTTACAGCTTTACGCCAAACGGTTAGCCATAAGCTTGAGTAGTCAGTCACAGCCACTTCACAACAAACTCCGCAATCAACTCCGCATCATCAGATCAGATATTAGTTCAAAGTCGTCAGCGAGAACATGCGTTATACATATAGGCAGGATCCTACTCAAGTTTCGCGGTGCTGGTTTTTCTTTCAACTATCACTATTCTACAACCAGACCCGTTAACAACACTCACTATGGCAGCAAACACTTCTCAGCCGTCGACAATGCGTGCCTGGACATTCAACAGCGGCGGTACACCAGAGAAAGTCTTATCATTCAACCCATCCTTCCCAGCACCCGCAGCCCCAAAGGGCTCGGATGTTCTGATCAAAATATCTCACGCTTCACTCTCTTCCCCAGGGTCAAATCTGATGAGAGACATTCCGTCTCTCTTGAGGAAAAACGCAATACCGGAACTCGACTTTTCTGGGCGCGTGGTCTCAACTGGCCCTGATGTTCCAGTCGAATTCGCTCCAGGCGCCGCTGTGTTTGATACTGTTTCTAAATCGGGCAGTATCATTCATAATCAGGGAACGCTGGCGGAGTATATTCTGTTGAATGTTAATTGCATCGCTGTCAAGCCGACCAGTATAACATTCGCAGAAGCTGCTTGTCTAAGTTGCCTCGGACAAGTTGCATTGGAAATGGTTCGTCAGGCTAAAATTAAAAGCGGCGATCGAGTTCTCGTCAATGGGGGTAGCGGTGCTGTAGGATCAGCCGCTATCCAGCTCTGTAAGGATTTGGGTGCCTTTGTCGTGACAACTTGTTCGACCAAAAATACCTATCGGATGAAGCAGTCTTTGGGAGTAGATGAGGCAAGTGGATCTGATTTCATTTCTGCTACTGACACAGAGAAAGGCTAACCTCTCCCTCGCCAAGATGCAGATTATCGATTACGCTCTAGTCAAGTCTATACCTGCCGCCCTTGAGAACTCCTACAGCGCGAGCCAATTTGATGCAATCCTGGATACGGTAGGCTCTCGAGAGTTGTTTCTGCGATGCCCAAAGTATCTCAAGCCTGAAGGCGTGTTCATCAACGTCGGCGACGGCAGCGAAGGTCGGCTTAGTCTAATTCTACACACGCTCCAAAATGTTTTGCAGCCTAGTATCTTGGGTGGCGTGCCGAGGCGATATCTTACATTCAGTGCGCCGTTAAATGGGCCAAATACCGCGTATCTTGGAACCTTGGCTTCGAAGGGCAAGATGATGGTGTTCATTGACTCAACATTCTCGTTAGAAGACGCCCTTAGCGTAAGACTCCGAGATGACCATGGCTTCTGTGTCTATACTAACACAATCTCAAGGGATACAAACGCTATAAGAGCGGTCAAGCTCAAGGCAGAGTTGTCATTGACATAGCGAATATGGATACACAAGATCAGTAAAGCTGTATGCTTTTTAGCACTTCTGGTTCAAGATTCTCGTCGTATTACTCCGCCCTAAAAAGCTAACGAGAAGATGCCGTATGACAGAATCATGAGCTCATTGACGATATCCTGCGGAGCGGAAATCACCTCTCCGCATGACAAAGGCTTGATAATTCAAGATACATAGCCACGTCACTACAATAGAGGAATAAGTAATGGATTACACAACAGAGAAGGGTATGGCTCTTCGCCCCCCTGAGCACCTCTCCAAGCGGCCGTCAGCTTCGATCCCTACCGATTGGCTAGATCGAAGCGCCAACCTTTTTACTTTTCTTTTTTTCCCTTTTTTGGAAGTTGTACTATTTTAGCCCATTTCTCAGAGCCGAGATGGCATAAGAGAGAACAAGGATAATATGACTGGAGTTTCTCAATCTCACTTAGAAAATACAACAATTGCTTTCGGGGGCAGCCTTCGTATTCCGGTGCAATGGCTTCTTTCTCATGTTCAACCTAGACTTGGCAAAATAATGATTGCATTCATCCCAAGGGCCCTCTTGTCCAACGATGGATAGAAGTGTCCCGCCTTACAGCCGTGCTATTCTGAGCCAGATATCAACGTAATGTCTCGTTTTCACAACGTGCATACAAGCTGAATTACACGATCACCAAGCACATACGACCATAGGTAGAGGAGAATTCGGGGTCCCGTCAAGCACTTCTCTTGAGAGCGATGTCTTCCATTTTTTGCATCCCAAGACTCCAATTCTGGAGTCACAGGATTCCGTTTTTGGCGATTAACCAACCCCGCGCTTAAGATGGTCATAACCCGTTTAATCCTCCCTCCAGAATGAGGCCATGGTAAATGCTACCCAACCAATTAGTTGCCTGATGGCCTCTAGAGCAGGCCGACTTGCATCTCCCTATTAAACAGATTATATGGAGTGCAGCTACCTTGCCATAGACTATAGTATTTGCTAAGTGCATTTTATATGCCTGATATCCTTGTTAATCATATGAGGTAAGTAAATAGCAAGAACTGTATGGGTGAAGCTTAATGAGAAACCGCTGTGTCCGGAGATGATGCCTGCAGCTACGCTTCGTGGAGAAGTAAATTCATAATAGATGGACTTATTTTAAACACGCCTTCCCAGGCGCTTTGAGGCTGGCGGCCGGATTGCAACTGCGCCGGACCCCGAATTTTCCGCTACCTATGGTCGTATGTGTTAGGGTATCCGGGTTGATCATGTTATATCGGATTTAAATATTGACTCAATTGCTAAAGAAAAAATCCTTCGGAACTCGGCATAATGGATGGAATAAAACAAACAACGGGGACTTGTCATTCCTGGTCATATGGTTGGAAAGGTAATGAAGGAATAGAGCAATTTGAACGAATAGCTCTTAATAAGGGCGATCTGCAGGGTGGCTACTAACTATTGACTCCAGCTTCGCGCCAAAGCATCCAGACATTTTAGTCATTGTCGGCCTTTTAACAGTATCACCCTCTTTCTCTAGCAAATGTCGAATGGCCGAATTTGACTATCCTAACGCTAGAAAATAAATACCTTTCTGTAACGAACCGGGTCCTATAGGCACTATAGGTTAGCTGTTTCCAAAGGATAAACCTTAAAGTAGTTCTATAGTTTATATTAGCGGAGCAGTTAGGTCAGTAGACGGGCAATCTTATTACTAACTGTAAAGTAAAGTATCTAAATATTTAATCTAATTACTATAGTATTAATAATAATTAATTATCTAAGTATTCTAATAAATAATATAAAGTAAACTTATATACTTAGTTAACTAGGCTAGATTATTAGCAAGGGTTAATAATTTTATTATAAATTATTTTATAGTTTTAATAATTTATTCTTAATTAATTAGTTAATTTATTATTTATCTAAAACCAACTACCTTATAGGCCTATTATTATAATTATAAAAACTAGATTATAATATAATATCCCCCTTTTATTAGTTTTATTCTTAAGACTTTACTTATTTAGGTATAAGTAGTTCTTCTTTACTTTATAGTATATTCCCTATTATTTATTTTTTATTTTTTCTTATATATATTAACTTACTTAATAATAATAAATAAAATATTTAAAAATATTTATTTAAAAATTAAAAAATATAAAAGTTTTTTTTATTTTATAGTTAAAAATACTTTAACTATAAATAAATATTATTTTTATTATATATTATATAATTATAAAAAATATCTTTTATCTCCTTTTAACTTATTATATTATACTAAATATATTTATTTAAATAAATTTTATTATAATATTTATAGTTTATTTTTTAAATAGTTAAAGTATATTATTATTTATTATTTTTACTTAAAAAATAAGCTTAAAGTAGCTAAAAAAAAGTATTATATTACTAATATAAAANTTAAATATTTTTATAAAAAGAAAAAATATTAATATAAAAAAATATATTATACTATTATATAAAGTATTACTAATTTAAATAAATTAAATAAAATTAAGTATAAGGAAATAAAGGCTATTTATTAAGCTATTATATTATAGTTAATAAAGGGTTTTTCTAAAGTTATTTTTACTTTTTTAAAGTTAATAAATTATTTAAGAATATTAATAATAAATCCTAAGCTAGTATAATCCTTAAGCTTTAATAAAGTTTTTCTACTAATATTATTAAATTCTTAAGGTACTTAATAAATTTTTATATTTTTTCTTTTTTTTTTTTTTCTATTATACTTTATAGTATTATTTACTATCTTCTTTTATTTTTATTATATTAATATCTTTTACTTTATATTCTTCTTCCTTTTCTTTAATAATAATTTTATTTTAAATAAATTTTTTAGTTTTTTTATTAATTTATACTTTTTTTAATAAGGAAATATAAAATATTAAATATATATATTTCCTTTATTTTTCCTATTATTTTAAAAGTTTAAGTTTATAATTTACTTTTTTAATTTTTTTTAAAATTTTATAAAATTTAAGTTTCTTAAAATTAAGTTTATTACTTAACTTATTTATTTTAATATTTACTTACTTATTTTCTTATCTATATTAATAAAGCTAAATTATATTTTCTTTCTAAAGGGTTAATTCTTTAATTTTATTTTTATTTACGTATTTAATTATCCTTTAATAAATAAATTTAAATTATTATTATAGTTTATTATATAATTTAATTATATTTTCTACTTTAATTATAGCTTTTTTAATATCTTTCCCTTACTTTAGTAATTACTAAGCTTTAGGTTTAAATCTATAATTTAAAAAAAATAGTAATTTCCTAATTAATTTAAATTTTATATTATTATATATAAATTATATAATAAAAAGTAGTTTTACTTAATTATTTTACTTAAAATTAATATAATAGTATAAGTAGGTCTTAATTATTTAGTTAATTTTTTTTATTTATTTATTTATCTATAGGTAGTAGACTTTTTTAACTTTATAATTTATTCTTAGTTTAATTATAAGTACTTTTTAAAATTTAAATATAAATATATTTCCTTTATTAAAGATTATATTTTTTAGTAGCTTATAGTTATTTATAATATATTTTATTATTACATAAGCTAGTTTTTTTATATTAACTTTTTTAAATAATATAAAGTAAGCTATTTTTATAAATTTATTAACTACTATAAAAATACTATTATAAAATACCTTTATAATTAATTCTCTTAAAGAAGGTAGCTTAGTAATTAAATTAAATAAAATTAATTTTTATAATTATTATAATATAAGTAATAGTTATAGTTATTTATATAGCTTATATTTAAAGCTTTTAGCTTATTTATATATTATATATTTTAATATAACCTTTTATACTTATATTTTAATACTTTTAAATTTAAAATATTATTTAATTTATTATATAGTTTTCCTAACTTTATAGTATTTATTAAGCTTATATATATAAATTAATTTTACTACTTTATTTTATAGATCTTTTAGTATTTAAATAAGTTTATTTAATATTAGGTATTTAATATTTATAAAAATACCTTTTAAGTATTATTTATTTTTCTAGTTTTTAATATATTTTTTATATTATTAATAATTAAATTATTTATTTTAATTTAGTATATAGTATTAATTAATTAAATTACTAAGTTACTATATTAGTTTTTCTTTAATATTTAAGCCTTAACTTCTAGGATTTTTTAAAAGTAGTTTAAGTATTTATTAAGTATATTAGTATATTTATTATCTAATCTACTATAGTATTTAATAATAAACTTAAACTTAAAAAATTATTTATAGTACTTAACTTATTTATAAAATAGTTTTTATATTATTATAAAGTAAGTAATATTTTAGTAATTTATAAAAATTATTATTAAAAATTAGCTTCTTTTATAATAATATTTTTAATATTACTTATTAAATACTTAGTATATAATTATAAACTCTTTATTATAAATAAAATATTTAAGTTCTAGCTTATATAATTTCTTAAAGAAATAGGTAATAGGCCTAAGTTTCCCTTTTTTATCTAGTTAACTAAGTACTTTTTTAATTATATAATCTAAAGTATTAATTTTAATTATAATAAGTTTATTTAAGTTAAATATTATAAATATTAATATACTTATAAAGGCTTATTTAAGGTATTTAAAAGCTACTAAAGTATTTTATATTAATTTAAATTTAATATCTTTTTTTATTAAGTTTATAAGTAATATAATAATTTTTAAAAAATCCTTAATAAAATATTAATAATAATTAATAAGTTTTAAAAAGCTTTATACTTATTTAATATTTTATAGTAGTTTTTAATTATTAATTACCTTAAGTTTCTTAAGGTTTATTTAAATTTTACTTAGGGTAATAATATATTTTAAAAATATAACCTTTTATATATAAAAATTATATTTCTTAGGTTTTACTAAGAGTTTATTATTTTAAAGTATTTATAATACTTTCTTAATATACTCTTTATATTTTTTTAAATTTTTAAAGTAAATAAGGATATTATTAAGGTATATAATAGTAAAATAATCTATATAATTTTATAATATATAGTTAATTATTTTCTAAAAAAATACTAAAGTATTTATAAATTTAAAAAGTATTACTTAATATTTATAAAGTTTATATTTTATAT